CTGAGGTTTGTTAAACTGAACTTTGTTAAACTGAGCTTAAATAAACTGAACTTTGTTAAACTGAGCTTAAATAAACTGAACTTTGTTAAACTGAGATTAAATAAACTGAATTTTGTTAAACTGAGATTAAATAAACTGAACTTTGTTAAACTGAGCTTAAATAAACTGAACTTTGTTAAACTGAGATTAAATAAACTGAACTTTGTTAAACTGAGTTGGTTTCTTCCCAGTCTCTCTCAGACTTAGTCAAACTGAAACTCGGTCTCGAACACTCCGACCTGTTTCCTGTTTCCTGTTCGTCTTTTTTAATCGTACCTCCTGACGTTACGATCACATTCAGATGAATCTATAATGTAGATCTGAGCATGCTCAGTAACCTCGCTCTGAGTGATCGCTGCGCTCAACATGAAACGCCCTCCATCAACAGAGCTCACAGATGCACACTTTACCATTAACACACACACACACACACACACACACACACACACACACACACACGATCGCTCTGTGAGGACTGAAATCAGAGAAAGACGAAAAACATCGACCTGAACTGAAATCAGATCAAAGTTTCTCAAAAAGCGAATTTCCTGGTCTGACGGTCTCTGTGTTTGTGGGTCTCTGGTCTCTGTGTTTGGGGGTCTGAGGGTCTCCCTGGGTCTGGGTCTCTGGTCTCTGTGTTTGGGGGTCTCTGGTCTCTGTGTTTGGGGGTCTGAGGGTCTCCCTGGGTCTGGGTCTCTGGTCTCTGTGTTTGTGGGTCTCTGGTCTCTGTGTTTGGGGGTCTGAGGGTCTCCCTGGGTCTGGGTCTCTGGTCTCTGTGTTTGGGGGTCTCTGGTCTCTGTGTTTGGGGGTCTGAGGGTCTCCCTGGGTCTGGGTCTCTGGTCTCTGTGTTTGTGGGTCTCTGGTCTGTGTTTGGGGGTCTGAGGGTCTCCCTGGGTCTGGGTCTCTGGTCTCTGTGTTTGGAGGTCTCTGGTCTCTGTGTTTGGGGGTCTGAGGGTCTCCCTGGGTCGGGGTCTCTGGTCTCTGACAGCTGCAGACTCACAGCTGGATGACGGACAGACACTCTCAGGCCGATCAGTCTGTGGAGATCCTGTTACACCAGGCTCTAATCTGCCCCCCCCCCCCCCACACACTCACACACACACACACACACACACACACACACACTCACACACACACACACACACACACACACACACCCGACCCCAGGAGGAGGCGACTGAGCTGAATCCACGTAGGAAGGAAAACCACGAAGACACGGAGACCAGAGGAGGAAACTTCAGGAAGAAGGACGGAGACGTTCAAAAAACTTAAAGTATTAACATGAATTTTAATAATTTTAATGAATTTTAATTATTTTTTAAATAATTGTTATTGATGATAAAATGTAGTTTTATTATAAATTGTATTTTCACGTCATTTCCGTCATTTTGCAGCAGATACGGATCAAACTCAGACGCTCAGAGAGGTTCGTCCTCAGTGTGTTTACGGATTTTAAATCCATCTGAAAATGATGGACTGCACCTTTAAAGCTTTAAATTAGAGCTGAGTTTAAATTAATTTATATCTCTGTTTAATTTATTCAGAAATAAAAGAATTTAATCAAACTAAATCAAATCAGGAATTCAGCCTCCGATCAGATCAATTATTTACATTATTGATTATTCTGATTTCTGTTTTCGGTCAAAATCAATAAAAACATGTTTTTATGTTTTTGTTTCAGAGAAAAATCCGTTAAAATAAAAAAAACAGAAAATGACTTTTTTTAGTTTTTAAATATTTTTCAGTCAAAATGATTTTAAATTAAAAAACAAACAAAAAAAATATTAAATACAAATGAACACGTTAAAAATGAACTTTATCTCGTCTTTGTTTAAATTTATATGTTTAAATGTTTGTTTATATATGAAGACTAAAGTCCGGTCTAATGCAGTCCTCCTCCCTCCGGCTCAGACCCGGACCCGCAGACCGACAGACCCGGACTGAGGTAGTCCGGGATCAGAGCTCGGAGCTCGGATCCACAGGTCCTCTCCGCCCCGCGGACTGAATAACGGTTTTCGCTCAGACCTCGTCCTCTTTCACGGCCCCGCGTGGATCCATCAGAGTCCCAACACAGACACCCTCGAACCCCCAGAGCCCGGTCCTAAAGCCCGGTCCTCCTCAGAGTCCCGGGCAGAACTTTAGTGGATCCGGGGGGACCCGCGGAGCCCGGACCGGGCCGGATCTTACCGTGTTTCCTGCGGGGGTTGGCCTGTTTGCGCCTCTTGCAGCGGGGACCCTCCGCCATGATCTCCTGCTTCATGGATCTGTCAGTCCGGTCCGGTCCGCATGGAGACAAAGATCCGGACCTGCCGCTCCTCCTCAACGAACACAGTAAATCCCAGAACCGGGACCCGCCTGGACCCCCTGTGACCACTTCACGGAACTTTGGGAGAAAGTCAAACTCTGCAGCTCTGATGGCTGTCCGTCTGAGAGAGTGTGTGTGTGAGTGTGTGTGTGTGTGTTTGTTTGATAGAGAGACAGACAGAGAGAGAGAGAGAGAGAGAGAGAGAGAGAGAGAGAGAGAGAGAGAGAGGAATAGAGATCCGCTCCGCCGCCCCGCGTCCCCGAGCGCCCGGTCTGAAACAGAGAGAGAGAGAGAGAGAGAGAGAGAGAGAGAGAGAGAGAGAGAGAGAGAGAATTAGAGTAAATGACAAAAATAAACTTTTATTTTTTTTTAACGCGGTAAAATCGAGCAGATCTGATCATCAAAAATCAATATTGATCACAATATTACATCATCAATAATATGAAAAAATCAATAAACTACTAAAAAACACGAAAGAGAGACACACACACACACACACACACACACACAGACAGATACGCACACAGACACAGACACAATGCGTGTGTCTGTGTGTGTGTGCGTGTGTGTTAGATCCGGTCTTCTTTCCATCCTCGGTCCCCCTCCTGAGTTCTGGTTCTGGTTCCGGACCCTGTCTGGTCGGTCTCCGGTCCTCTTTCCTCTCGCGGGGGGTTCCGTCCTTCATCAGCAGCACCTGGAGCGGCAGCGGCGCGCGCACCTGTCTGCTCTCACCTGTCCGCGCGCAGGTATCAGCGGACAGGTGAGAGCAGACAGGTGAAGCTGCAGGCAGGTGAGAGCGCGCGCGCGCAGAGCAGAAACCTGCAGGTGGAGGAAGAGGAGCGGGAACCTACCGGAGCTCGTGCCGCCGCTGACGGAGGAGAGGAAGAACTGACAGGAAGAGAGCTGCTGCACGAGCGCGCGAACCCCCCCCCCCCCCCTCCATCCATCCAATCAGACCACAAACACAACCGCTGAGAGCGCGCGCCCCCTGCCTGCACGCAGAGGGATGACTAACCCCCCCCCCCCCGCGGTCTCTTTGATCTGCGGGTTAAAGCTGAGCTCGTGGAGGTTCGTGGCGGCCACGCGGGCCCTCGTGCCGTTCACACAGGCAGCTCCTGATTGGCCCACAAAGGTAGATCACCTGAGCAGGTGCAGCATCAGCACCAGAGGGGAGGGAGGAGGGAGGGAGCATGCGCAGACCGCTCTCAGCCTGATCAATGAGAAACAATCAGAAACATCCGAGTTTGATTGGCAGGTGAATGACGTCACATCACTGTCACTAAACAAAAACAGAATAAACAAAAAATTAACAGAAAATATAAAAAAGAAATAAAAACAAAAACATTATTAAACAAAATTATCATCAAAAACATCAAACAACCAAAACAACAAACACTTTTATTTAAACACATTATTATTAAACAACATAATTAAACTTTAACAAACAAGGAAAAAAACATTATTATTAAAACACATTTTTATTAAATATAATTATGATCAAATAATAAAATCAGTAAAAAAACATGAAACATTATCAGAAAGTTTTTTATTAAACTTTAAATCAGAATGACAAAATAATTCAACACTTTTATTAAATCACAACAATATTAAACATTATTATTACTGAACAACTTTATTATAAAACATTATTATTATTATTATTATTGACCCGATTAGATTTTTATTTAAAAACCAAAACAATGTTCAGAAATAAACAAAATAAATAAATAAAATTAAAAGACAAAAATATTTAAATTTAAAAAAAAAAATTTCAAACTAAAGTTTGTTTTTAATTTATGAAACAGAAATTTAATGAAGTGAATAAATAACAAAAACATTTAATAATAAAGGTGTTAATAATTATAATTAACCACAGCTGAGTCACATGACCACAGGTGAGCTCACCTTTGAACTCTCTTCAACAAATTAAAAGTCCTTCCTGTCAGAGGCCTAAAAAACTGCTCTTAAGATCAGATTTCAAAATAAAAGTCTGTAAGTGAAGAGAACACACACACACAGACACACACACACAAAGATACACACACACACACACTTAAGTCAGAGGTGTTTAAAGAGGAGAGGGTTTGCATCTGTGACCCTTGACCTTTACGCTCAGGTGTGTGTGTGTATGTGTGTGTGTGTGTGTGTGTGTGTGTGTGTATTTAAGTCAAAAAAGTCAACATCAGCTTTATTGTCAAATATGCCACACGGCAGTTTACAGCATAGATGAAATTAGAGTCCTCTCGGACCCGCAGTGAAAATAACGGCAGATAGAAAAAAACGAAACAAGTAAACAAAATTACTAAAAACTACAATAAAAATATAAATGTGTGCAAGTAGACATTCTGTGGTCCGCTCAACATTCAGTGGATTGTTGGATTGTTGAATAGTGCAGCGTAGAGCAGGATCGTGGGTCAGTGGTGGACAGAGGATGGGGGAGTGGGGGCAGAGCATCCTGACTGCCTGGTGGGAGAAGCAGTCCTTGAGCCTGCTGGTCCTGGTGGAAGAAGCGGTCCTTGAGCCTGCTGGTCCTGGTGGAAGAAGCGGTCCTTGAGCCTGCTGGTCCTGGTGGAAGAAGCGGTCCTTGAGCCTGCTGGTCCTGGCTCGGAGACTCCGCAGTCTCCTCCCCGACAGCAGTGGGCTGAAGAGGCTGTGAGATGGGTGGGTGGGGTCACCTGCACTCCTGATGGCTCTGCGGGTGAGGCGGGTGAGGCGGGTGTTATAAATGTCCAGTAGAGAGGGAGGAGAGACACCAATGATTCTCTCAGCTGCTCTCACAGTGCGCTGCAGGGTCTTGCGGCAGGAAACGGTGCAGGCGCCGTACCACAGGGTGATACAGCTGGACAAGATACTCCCAATGGTGCCTCTGTAGAAGGTGGACATGATGGGGGCGGGGCTCTTGCTCTTCTTAGTTCGCGGAGGAAGTAGAGTCGCTGATGGGCTTTTTTGGCCAGAGATGTGGTGTTGGTGTTCCAGGACACGTCTTGGGAGACGTGTACACCCAAGAACTTGGTGCTGCTCACCGCTCCACTGCAGAACCATCGATGGTTAGTGGAGCCTGCTGAGCCTGCTCTCTCCTGAAGTCCACTACGATCTCCTGGTCTTCTCCACATTCAGGAGGAGATTGTTGTCCTTGCACCACACGGCTCACCTCACTCCTTGATGAGACCCCCCACAGTTGTGTCGTCTGCAAACTTGATGAAGAGCAGGATGAAGGTGTGCAGTCATGGGTCAGAGGAGGGGGCTCAGCACACATCCTTGGGGAGCCCCTGTGTTCAGAGTGATGGTGCTGGAGGTGTTGCTGACCCGGACTGCCTGTGGTCTCCCCATCAGGAAGTCCAGCAGCCAGTTTCACAGGGAGGTGTTGAGTCCCAGCCGGTCTAACCTGAAGAGGAGCTGCTGGGGGACGATCGTGTTGAACGCTGAAGTCGATGAGCAGCATTCTGACGTGGGGGTCTTTGGTCTCCAGGTGGGTGAGTGCTGAGTGGACGGCGACGGCGACGGCATCGTCAGTCGAGCGGTTGGACTGATATGCAAACTGGAAGGGGTCCGGGGTGGGGGGGGAGGATGGAGTTGATGCATGACTAGCCGCTCGAAGCACTTCATGAGGATGATGATGTATCTGTGTGTGTGTGTGTGTTACCTGAGCTGTCAGTGAGTCTATAAATAAAGTTTTTTTACTTTTTTAGCGTCTGAATGATGAACACATGAACTGAAGATGAAGTCTGTAGATTTTAAATCAGGTTTTCTGATTGGCTGAGGGAGGGTGGGGGCGGGGTCAAATATTTAACCCTGTGTGTTCTGTCCCATGGTCACATGACTCTGCAGCTCATTCACAGGTGAGCGGTAATCTGAGACCGAGACGTGGACTAATCCGGGTTAGGGTCTGTGGGGGGTCTGTGGGGGGTATTATGGTGAGTGTTAAAGGGTATTACAATAATAATACTAAAGAGTATCAGAGTGTCCCATTAGGCTTACTGTGGGGGGGGGGGGGGGCACATCTGTCTGAACCCCAACAAAGTGTGTGGGGGGGGGGGGATTATCATATATGTCTGCTGGAAACATAACCCTACAAAATAAAAGCCCTGAGAGACACAGAACCTGGTCCACTAAAGTCCACTAAGGTCTACAGAACCTGGTCTGCTGGGTCCACTGAGGTTGGGGGTGATGATGAGGGCCAGCAAGAAAACTTAAAGGGATATTCCTTCATAAAATTAATGTAGGGTCTTTAGTAACTTTAGTAACGACCGCAGGATAGCAATACAGAGAGACACGCCCCCAACCAAAACGCCACTCTATAGCCACAAATAATGCTCAGAACAGCACCTAACTTCATCAACAGGACATATAGGGTCACAGCCATAGTACTAGACACCAAACATCTTTTTAACTTTGACTTATTTCTTTAGCAAAGAGACTAAACACAACTCACCTACTCTCTTCCAGCAGACGCTTGTTTGTAGAGAGACCTCAGGCCAGTCCATTACAGACTACAGCGGGGTGCCGCAGCTCAAGGAGGAACATTTATGATCATTTCTTCATGGAAATACAATCAGACCGAGACGCTGAGACAGAAGAACTACCGCGTCTGTAAAATGATCAATATGGTGATTATTACTTCAAGGAAATGATGAAGAGATGATCATAAATGTTCTTCCTTGAGCTGCGGCACCCCGCTGTAGTCCGTAATGGACTGGCCTGAGGTCTCACTACAAACAAGCGTCTGCTGGAAGAGAGTAGGTGAGTTGTGTTTAGTCTCTTTGCTAAAGAAATAAGTCAAAGGTGTTACGTGTGTTTGACCATAAATTAATTTTAGGGCGGATTATCCCTTTAAACCTGATATCAATGTGTGTGTGCAGATGGTCTAAACATACATGTATATACACACACACACACACACACACACACACTTCAGGTGTACAGGTGACCCTGTTGGACCCTCCTGTTTATTTTATAACCTCCATCCCTCCTGAGTGAAAAATAGTGTGTGTGTGTGTGTGTGTGTGTGTGTGTGTGTGTGTGTGTGTGTGTGTGTGTGTGTGTGTGTGTGTGTGTGTGTGTCTGTGTGTGTGTGTGTGAGGATTAGTGTGTACCTGTGAAAGACTGTCAGGTCGGTTGAGCAGGAAACTTTGCTGAGAGGAAAAATATAAAGAGGAGGAGAAGCTTATTCCTCCTCTCTAATCCAGCCAGAGGTGTGTGTGTGTGTGTGTGTGTGTGTGTGTGTGTGTGTGTGTGTGTGTGTGTGTGTTTGTTCTCCAGGTTTACTGAACTTCGTCTTTCAGCTCACAGACATCTGCTGCTCTTACCGCACATCCTCCTGATTCTTTTTAATTAAACATCTGCAGCTACACACACACACACACCCCCACACACACCCCCACACACACACACGCGCACGCACGCACACACACACACACACACACACACACACACACACACACATTTCACTCGCACACTCACTGGCCCAGAGGCAGCAGAGCTCCCAGTGTGTGCAGGTCTGTCCCAGTTTAGTTCTGGTTCTGGTTTGTAGTGGACCGGACTCCATGTTTGTAGTTCTTCATGGAAACTGAAACTGAACCGACCTGATAACTGACCTGATAACTGACCTACGACCTGTAACCATGGTTACAGAAATCAAACCCTCAAATCTGAAACACGAACATTCATGTCCACCTCTCAGCCAATCAGGATCCAGAATTCTCCTCCCCGTTTGGTGGGATGTGTGATGGCAGTTATTTTCAACGTGGCGTCTCACCGCTCCTGATGATGTGGCGCCGTCAGCTCTGTTCTCCTCCATCCCACTATCACCGCCAACACTCACTTCCTGCTGTCAGATAGATGACCCCGCCTCCTCCTGCTTCCTGCCCAGGTATCTCCTCACCACTTCCTGTTCCCCCTGGAGCCACACGGGGGGGGGGGGGGGGGGCATAGAGGCGGTTTGACAGTCAAGTCCCAACAGTACAGACAGCAGAGGTCTCAGGTCTCAGGTCTCAGGTCCAGGTCTGAGGTCCAGGTCTCAGGTGAGTCTCTCTGGACCTGTGGGTGGATCAGTCATTAATAATGTAATTTATTTTAATCTTTCAGATTATTGATTAGAGTCGGATTTTAAATACAGACTAAAAACATGATCATGGCCGTCAGAGCCGAGGAGATGATCCCGGGTGATGCCTGTTGTCAGTATTATGATTAATGCTCTAAAACTCACCTAATAACCTTATTGACGGCAGTAGTCAGTCAGTCAGTTGGTTGGTCGGTCGGTCGGTTGGTCAGTTGGTCAGTCATTCGGTCGGTCGGTTGGTTGGTTGGTCAGTCAGTTGGTTGGTCGGTTGGTCGGTCGGTTGGTCAGTCAGTTGGTCGGTCGGTTGGTTGGTTGGTCGGTTGGTCAGTCAGTTGGTCGGTCAGTTGGTCGGTCGGTTGGTCGGTTGGTTGGTTGGTCAGTTGGTCAGTCGGTCGGTTGGTCAGTCAGTCAGTCGGTCGGTCGGTCGGTCAGTCAGTCGGTCGGTCGGTCGGTCAGTCGGTTGGTCGGTCAGTCGGTTGTTTGGTTGGTCGGTCGGTCAGTCAGTCGGTCGGTCCGTCGGTTGGTCAATCAGTTGTTCAGTCAGTTGGTTGGTCGGTTGGTTGGTTGGTCGGTCAGTTGGTTGGTCGGTTGGTTGGTTGGTCGGTCATTTGGTTGGTCGGTCGGTTGGTCAGTCGGTTGGCTGGTCAGTTGGTCGGTCGGTTGGTCGGTCGGTTAGTTGGTCGGTCAGTCAGTCGGTCGGTCCGTCGGTTGGTCAATCAGTTGTTCAGTTGGTCAGTCAGTTGGTCGGTCGGTTGGTTGGTTGGTCGGTCAGTTGGTTGGTCGGTCGGTTGGTCGGTCAGTTGGTCGGTCGGTTGGTTGGTTGGTCGGTCAGTTGGTCGGTCGGTTGGTTGGTTGGTCAGTTGGTCGGTTGGTCAGTCGGTCGGTTGGTCGGTCAGTCAGTCAGTCAGTCGGTCAGTCAGTCGGTCGGTCGGTCGGTCAGTCGGTTGGTCGGTCAGTTGGTCGGTCGGTTGGTTGGTTGGTCGGTCAGTTGGTCGGTCAGTCGGTCGGTTGGTTGGTTGGTTGGTCGGTCAGTTGGTCAGTCGGTCGGTTGGTCGGTCAGTCAGTCAGGCGGGCGGTCAGTCAGTCGATCGGTCGGTCGGTCAGTCGGTTGGTCGGTCAGTCGGTTGTTTGGTTGTTTGGTTGGTCGGTCAGTCAGTCGGTCGGTCCGTCGGTTGGTCAATCAGTTGTTCAGTCAGTTGGTTGGTCGGTTGGTTGGTTGGTCGGTCAGTTGGTTGGTCGGTCGGTTGGTCGGTCAGTTGGTTGGTCGGTCGGTTGGTCAGTCGGTTGGTCGCTCAGTTGGTCGGTCAGTCAGTTGGTCGGTCAGTTGGTCGGTTGGTCAGTCGGTTGGTCGGTCAGTTGGTCGGTCGGTTGGTTGGTTGGTCGGTCAGTTGGTTGGTCGGTCGGTTGGTCAGTCGGTTGGTCGGTCAGTTGGTCGGTCGGTTGGTTGGTTGGTCGGCCAGTTGGTCGGTCAGTTGGTTGGTCGGTCGGTTGGTCAGTCGGTTGGTCGGTCAGTTGGTCGGTCGGTTGGTTGGTTGGTCGGTCAGTTGGTTGGTCGGTCGGTTGGTCAGTCGGTTGGTCGGTCAGTTGGTCGGTCGGTTGGTCGGTCAGTTGGTTGGTCGGTCGGTTGGTCAGTCATTCGGTCGGTCGGTTGGTTGGTTGGTCAGTCAGTTGGTTGGTCGGTTGGTCGGTCGGTTGGTCAGTCAGTTGGTTGGTCGGTTGGTTGGTTGGTCAGTCAGTTGGTTGGTCGGTCAGAGGTCTCAGGTCTCAGGTCTCAGGTGAGTCTCTCTGGACCTGTGGGTGGATCAGTCATTAATAATGTAATTTATTTTAATCTTTCAGATTATTGATTAGAGTCGGATTTTAAATACAGACTAAAAACATGATCATGGCCGTCAGAGCCGAGGAGATGATCCCGGGTGATGCCTGTTGTCAGTATTATGATCAATGCTCTAAAACTCACCTAATAACCTTATTGACGGCAGTAGTCAGTCAGTCAGTTGGTTGGTCGGTCGGTCGGTTGGTCAGTTGGTCAGTCATTCGGCCGGTCAGTTGGTTGGTTGGTCAGTCAGTTGGTTGGTCGGTTGGTCGGTCGGTTGGTCAGTCAGTTGGTCGGTCGGTTGGTTGGTTGTCGGTTGGTCAGTCAGTTGGTCGGTCAGTTGGTCGGTCGGTTGGTCGGTTGGTTGGTTGGTCAGTTGGTCAGTCGGTCGGTTGGTCAGTCAGTCAGTCGGTCGGTCGGTCGGTCAGTCAGTCGGTCGGTCGGTCGGTCGGTCGGTCAGTCGGTTGGTCGGTCAGTCGGTTGTTTGGTTGGTCGGTCGGTCAGTCAGTCGGTCGGTCCGTCGGTTGGTCAATCAGTTGTTCAGTCAGTTGGTTGGTCGGTTGGTTGGTTGGTCGGTCAGTTGGTTGGTCGGTTGGTTGGTTGGTCGGTCAGTTGGTTGGTCGGTCGGTTGGTCAGTCGGTCGGTCAGTTGGTTGGTCGGTCGGTTGGTCAGTCAGTTGGTCGGTCGGTTGGTCAGTCGGTTGGTCGGTCAGTTGGTCGGTCGGTTGGTTGGTTGGTCGGCCAGTTGGTCGGTCAGTTGGTTGGTCGGTCGGTTGGTCAGTCGGTTGGTCGGTCAGTTGGTCGGTCGGTTGGTTGGTTGGTCGGTCAGTTGGTTGGTCGGTCGGTTGGTCAGTCAGTTGGTCGGTCGGTTGGTTGGTTGGTCGGTCAGTTGGTCGGTCAGTCGGTCGGTTGGTTGGTTGGTCGGTCAGTTGGTCAGTCGGTCGGTTGGTCAGTCAGTCAGTCAGGCGGGCGGTCAGTCAGTCGATCGGTCGGTCGGTCAGTCGGTTGGTCGGTCAGTCGGTTGTTTGGTTGTTTGGTTGGTCGGTCAGTCAGTCGGTCGGTCCGTCGGTTGGTCAATCAGTTGTTCAGTCAGTTGGTTGGTCGGTTGGTTGGTTGGTCGGTCAGTTGGTTGGTCGGTCGGTTGGTCGGTCAGTTGGTTGGTCGGTCGGTTGGTCAGTCGGTTGGTCGGTCAGTTGGTCGGTCAGTCGGTTGGTCGGTCAGTTGGTCGGTTGGTCGGTTGGTCAGTCGGTTGGTCGGTCAGTTGGTCGGTCGGTTGGTTGGTTGGTCGGTCAGTTGGTTGGTCGGTCGGTTGGTCAGTCGGTTGGTCGGTCAGTTGGTCGGTCGGTTGGTTGGTTGGTCGGCCAGTTGGTCGGTCAGTTGGTTGGTCGGTCGGTTGGTCAGTTGGTTGGTCGGTCAGTTGGTCGGTCGGTTGGTTGGTTGGTCGGTCAGTTGGTTGGTCGGTCGGTTGGTCAGTCGGTTGGTCGGTCAGTTGGTCGGTCGGTTGGTCGGTTGGTTGGTCAGTTGGTTGGTTGGTCAGTCGGTTGGTCGGTCGGTTGGTCGGTCAGTTGGTCGGTCGGTTGGTCGGTCAGTCGGTTGGTTGGTCAGTTGGTCGGTCGGTTGGTTGGTTGGACGGTCAGTTGGTCGGTCGGTCAGTCGGTTGGTTGGTTGGTTGGTCAGTTGGTCAGTCGGTCGGTTGGTCGGTCAGTCAGTCAGTCGGTCGGTCGGTCAGTCGGTCGGTCGGTCAGTCAGTCGGTCGGTCGGTCAGTCAGTCGGTTGGTCGGTCAGTCGGTTGTTTGGTCGGTCAGTTGGTTGGTTGGTCGGTTGGTCGGTCAGTCAGTCGGTCGGTCCGTCGGTTGGTCAATCAGTTGTTCAGTTGGTCAGTCATTCGGTTGTTTGGTCGGTCAGTTGGTTGGTCGGTCAGTTGGTTGGTCGGTTGGTTGGTTGGTCGGTCGGTTGGTTGGTCGGTCGGTTGGTCGGTCAGTTGGTCGGTCGGTCGGTTGGTCAGTCGGTTGGTCAGTCAGTTGGTCGGTCAGTCAGTTGGTCGGTCAGTTGGTCGGTTGGTCAGTCGGTTGGTTGGTCGGTCAGTTGGTCGGTCGGTTGGTTGGTTGGTCGGTCAGTTGGTTGGTCGGTCGGTTGGTCAGTCGGTTGGTCGGTCAGTTGGTCGGTCGGTTGGTTGGTTGGTCGGCCAGTTGGTCGGTCAGTTGGTTGGTCGGTCGGTTGGTCAGTCGGTTGGTCGGTCAGTTGGTCGGTCGGTTGGTTGGTTGGTCGGTCAGTTGGTTGGTCGGTCGGTTGGTCAGTCGGTTGGTCGGTCAGTTGGTCGGTCGGTTGGTCGGTTGGTTGGTTGGTTGGTCAGTTGGTTGGTTGGTCGGTCGGTTGGTCAGTCGGTTGGTCGGTCAGTTGGTCGGTCGGTTGGTCGGTCAGTCGGTTGGTCGGTCAGTTGGTCGGTCGGTTGGTTGGTTGGTCGGTCAGTTGGTCGGTCGGTCAGTCGGTTGGTTGGTTGGTTGGTCAGTTGGTCAGTCGGTCGGTTGGTCGGTCAGTCAGTCAGTCGGTCGGTCGGTCGGTCGGTCGGTCGGTCGGTCAGTCGGTCGGTCGGTCAGTCAGTCGGTTGGTCGGTCGGTTGGTTGGTTGGTCGGTCAGTCGGTTGGTTAATCAGTTGTTCAGTTGGTCAGTCAGTCGGTCTGTCCGTCGGTTGGTTAATCAGTTGTTCAGTTGGTCAGTCATTCGGTTGTTTGGTCGGTCAGTTGGTTGGTCGGTCAGTTGGTTGGTCGGTTGGTTGGTTGGTCGGTCGGTTGGTTGGTCGGTCGGTTGGTCAGTTGGTTGGTCGGTCGGTCAGTTGGTCGGTCGGTCAGTCGGTTGGTTGGTTGGTTGGTCAGTTGGTCAGTCGGTCGGTTGGTCGGTCAGTCAGTCAGTCGGTCGGTCGGTCGGTCGGTCGGTCGGTCGGTCGGTCAGTCGGTCGGTCGGTCAGTCAGTCGGTTGGTCGGTCAGTCGGTTGTTTGGTCGGTCAGTTGGTTGGTTGGTCGGTTGGTCGGTCAGTCAGTCGGTCTGTCCGTCGGTTGGTTAATCAGTTGTTCAGTTGGTCAGTCATTCGGTTGTTTGGTCGGTCAGTTGGTTGGTCGGTCAGTTGGTTGGTCGGTTGGTTGGTTGGTCGGTCGGTTGGTTGGTCGGTCGGTTGGTCAGTTGGTTGGTCGGTCGGTCAGTTGGTCGGTCGGTTGCTGAGGTACCAAACTTCGTTGTCTGTATTTTCTCTGATTCATACAGAAACACTCGTTCAGCTGAAATAACTCTGAGTTTTTATGCTCAAACTTTTACAAAAATCTCAGTTTTGATTGAAACATGAACTCAAATGAGGCTAAAATAAAACCGAGTTTCTGCCACAGTCGTCTGAAGACGAGCAAAAGTTCGTTCAAAAGTCAAAACATTTGAGCTGTCAGGATTCGATGAAAGGAAAACTCGAACCTGTTTTTGTCCAAATGATCATCTGAACACGTTCAAATATGAAAACATGACGTGAATAAAGTTTAATAAAGTTAAATAAAGTTAATAAAGTTAATAAAGTCAATAAAGTTTAATAAAGTTAAATAAAGTTTAATAAAGTTAAATAAAGTTGAATAAAGTTAAATAAAGTTAATAAAGTTAAATAAAGTTTAATAAAGTTAAATAAAGTTTAATAAAGTTAAATAAAGTTAAATAAAGTTAATAAAGTTTAATAAAGTTAAATAAAGTTAAATAAAGTTAATAAAGTTTAATAAAGTTATTAAAGTTAATAAAGTTATTAAGGTTTAATAAAGTTCAATAAAGTTAATAAAGTTTAATAAAGTTATTAAAGTTAATAAAGTTATTAAGGTTTAATAAAGTTTAATAAAGTTATTAAAGTTAAATAAAGTTAAATAAAGTTATTAAAGTTTAATAAAGTTAATGAAGTTTAATAAAGTTTAATAAAGTTTAATAAAGTTATTAAAGTTAATAAAGTTATTATGGTTTAATAAAGTTATGAAAGTTTAATTTACCATAAAAACATCAAACTGAACCAAAAGGAAAACGCTGCTGTCTGTCAGAGTGAAACTGTCCGTCTTTTTGTGACCACAGGATACTGACTGACTTTATCTGAGCTCCTGAACGCATCACAGCCGCCTGCAGGAACGCCACAGGGTTAAATATAACTGACAGGCTGTCAATCACATCGCCATGACAACAGAACAACCACAGGACCAGGAGGACAGGATGTTAGAGCTCTGTGAGACACGATTACGGCGAGGGGGGACGAGGACAGGACACACAACACACAACACAGACACACACACACACACACACACACACACACACACACATGAAAAGGGAATCAGCTGATGTCATCAGGTGGGGGGGGGGGCTGACACAGTGGATCAACATCCTCCTGTCACACCTGAACACCTGTGTGGGACCAGGTTCTAGTCCTACCTCACAGATGTGGGGTCCCTCAGAGGGTCCCTCAGGGGTCCTTCACCTTAGAGGGTCCTTCAGAGGGTCCCTCAGGGGCCCCTCACCTTAGAGGGTCCCTCAGGGGTCCCTCAGAGGGTCCCTCAGGGGCCCCTCACCTTAGAGGGTCCCTCAGGGGTCCCTCAGGGGTCCCTCACCTCAGGGGTCCCTCAGGGGTCCTGATATCTCATGTCATTGTTTTGTAGATCCAGTTTAAATAGATCTGCTGATAAACACAAACCTGAACCAGAACTCTGTTCAGGTTCTGTTGGACCGTCTCAGTGCTGGAGGTGAATTTTCTGTTGATGAACAAAAATCAAACTGAGATCATTTGATTGGACGGATTAGACGGCGCCATCAGCAGACTTCCTCCATGTTGGAGTCATCAGTGACCTGACTAACAGGTGGATCTGAAAACCTCCAGGATCCGTGTTCAGCTCGTCGTTCTGTCTTTTCTCCGTGGACCAGCGTTTGGTGTCTCAGACAGGATGGAGCGTAGCAGCAGAGCGCCACATGTCATGGTCTTTCTAAGCCAGTCAGCTCTGCGCCCCCTACAGGACGGGGAAGAGACGGCGTGACGGCATCAGTCCTGTCCTGGCCTCTCTCAGGAGTCTGAAGGTGATGGTGGATCAGCAGCCTCTTTGTTGGTCTCCTGGGGGGGGGATCAGGAGCTGTAGGAGGTTCAGGTGTTCCTCCAGATTAGAGCTGATCTGAGAACAGCAGACTGAGTGGGAGTTCATCCTGAAACCGCCTCAGAGAAACTCTCTCTCTCTGCTGAACACCACGATCTGAAGAGTCCTGAGTCTGTGAGCTCTGAGCATGCAGCATCTAGGATGTACAGTTCTTCGTTGAAAGGACAGCTGGACTGATTGAGACGTTGAAACGTCTCAATCAGTCCAGCTGTCCTTTCCAAAAGAGTCTTTGAGTTTGACTCCTCAGACCTCAGGAGAGGCGCTCCCTCGTGACTCCATGAATGTAATTCAGAGTTTCTCAGGATCTATTCTGTGTTTCTCTACGGGATCTAAAGTGATCAATAGTTTAATCTTTAGTCGATCTATCGAGGGTTTCCAGATGTTTCTACACCTGCCACAAAGTTTACGATCTGTCCACAGAAACAGGAGTTTGATCAGAGACGTCTGAGTTTGATATACGGAGGTGAAAACAGGATTATTGATCAGACTGTTGTGATAAAAAAGATCACGATCAATAAACGACGTTAATGTCCTCTGTGCTTGACGACCTGTTTGGATGACGTCAAACTTTGACCAATGACACGGTCTCATATTCTTCTTCTATTGTTCCCTTGACTGTAGTGTCCAATAAGAGACGAGAAAGTTCCCTGTTAGTCTGTAAAATCAGAAATAATGATCAATGATCAGAGAAACAAGCGAAGAGATTCTGAGCAGGATGATGTGGTCCTCCGTCTCAGCCCAGGTCCCAGGTCCTCTGTCTCAGCCCAGGTCCTCCATCTCAGCCCAGGTCCTCAGTCTCAGCCCAGGTCCTCTGTCTCAGCCCAGGTCCTCCGTCTCAGCCCAGGTCCCAGATCCTCTGTCTCAGCCCAGGTCCCAGGTCCTCTGTCTCAGCCCAGGTCCCAGGTCCTCCGTCTCAGCCCAGGTCCTCCGTCTCAGCCCAGGTCCTCCGTCTCAGCCCAGATCCCAGGTCCTCTGTCTCAGCCCAGGTCCTCTGTCTCAGCCCAGATCCTCCGTCTCAGCCCAGGTCCTCCGTCTCAGCCCAGGTCCTCCGTCTCAGCCCAGGTCCTCTGTCTCAGCCCAGATCCCAGGTCCTCTGTCTCAGCCCAGGTCCTCTGTCTCAGCCCAGGTCCTCCGTCTCAGCCCAGGTCCCAGGTCCTCTGTCTCAGCCCAGGTCCCAGGTCCTCTGTCTCAGCCCAGGTCCCAGGTCCCAGGTCCTCCGTCTCAGCCCAGGTCCTCCGTCTCAGCCCAGATCCCAGGTCCTCCGTCTCAGCCCAGGTCCTCTGTCTCAGCCCAGGTCCTCCGTCTCAGCCCAGATCCCAGGTCCTCTGTCTCAGCCCAGATCCCAGGTCCTCTGTCTCAGCCCAGATCCCAGGTCCTCTGTCTCAGCCCAGGTCCTCTGTCTCAGCCCAGGTCCCAGGTCCTCTGTCTCAGCCCAGGTCCTCCGCCTCAGCCCAGGTCCTCCGTCTCAGTCCAGGAGAAACAACAACAGTTAAAAAAGACCCAGAAGAATGAGTGTCAGTATGTCAACAGTTTCTGTCTTTGTTCTTGTCCCAGTCTGATGTGTCTCCTCAAGTCTGTGTCTCCTCATGTCTGTGTCTCCTCACGTCTGTGTCTCCTCACGTCTGTGTCTCCTCATGTCTGTGTCTTCACGTCTGTGTCTCCTCATGTCTGTGTGTCCTCACGTCTGTGTCTCCTCACGTCTGTGTGTCCTCACGTCTGTGTGTCCTCATGTCTCTCTCCTCATGTCTGTGTCCTCATGTCTGTGTCCTTATGTCTGTCTCCTCATGTCTGTCTCCTCACGTCTGCGTCTCCTCACGTCTGTGTGTCCTCATGTCTGTGTCTCCTCACGTCTGTGTCTCCTCATGTCTGTCTCCTCATGTCTGTCTCCTCATGTCTGTGTGTCCTCATGTCTGTGTCTCCTCACGTCTGTGTCTCCTCACGTCTGTGTCTTCATGTCTGTGTCTCCTCATGTCTGTGTCTCCTCACGTCTGCGTCTCCTCACGTCTGTGTCCTCACGTCTGTGTCTTCATGTCTGTGTCTCCTCATGTCTGTCTCCTCACGTCTGTGTCTCCTCACGTCTGTGTGTCCTCATGTCTGTGTCTCCTCACGTCTGTGTCTCCTCACGTCTGTGTCTCCTCATGTCTGTGTGTCCTCACGTCTGTGTGTCCTCATGTCTGTGTCTCCTCACGTCTGTGTCTCTGCTGTTTCCGGGATCAGCTGATCAGCAGGTCTCTGTCTCGGTCTGAGGAGGTTTTAAGACGCTCAGTGTTTGTTCAGGAACTGGACCCTGGTCAGGACCCCCCCATGTTGGTCTAAGAGGTCTGGATGGACTCTGGGAGACACCCAGAGAGACGGCGGGCTGATACCTGATCTGAGAAAGTCGTAAAGCTGCGGGTCGTTGGAAACGTCACCCGCCGTGATTCTGTCTCTGAGTCTGAAAGACGTCCGCCCACAAGACCAAGAGCGGCGTCTGACGAAGACGGGGGGGGGGACAGAGACAGAGAGAGAGAGGAGAGGAGGGGGGGAGAGAGAGAGAGGAGAGGGGAGAGAGAGAGAGGAGAGGGGGGAGAGAGAGAGAGGAGAGGGGGGAGAGAGAGAGTGTTGAGAGTCTTAACCGGACCCTGATGCCGGTGTGTGGACCTCTAATCTTTGGTCTCGGTCTGAAGCGACCTCGGCGTTGTCACGCCGGATCAGAGCGTTAGTTTGTAAAGTCAACATGGCCGCCGACAAACAGATCAGATGTTTCACAGCGCGACGATGACCCACAATCCCCTGCTGCTGCTCCTGCTGTGGCGCTGAAACAGGACCTGATGATCCGTGTCTGATGTCACGGCGGGGGAGGTGATGTCATCTGTGACATGTGGGCGGAGCCTCATCTGCTGCTCAGGAAGAGGAGAGGAGCCGGTAAACGGGGTCAGGGTCGGGGTCAGGGTCAGGGTCAGGTTAGGTGAGGACAGCCTTTAAAAACCTGGAGGCGTGGTCAAGTGTCCCTAGCCCCTCCCCTCCAAACTACGACCTTGTTTTCTGAGTCAGTTAAATTACAGACAGGAGGTCTGTGTGTGTGTGTGTGTGTGTGTGTGTGTCTGTGTGTGTGTGTGTTCTCCATGTCTGTGGATCAGAGGGCAAAATTAAGTTTCTCTAATGTTATCGGTGTTGTTGTTGTTATTGTTGTTATTGTTGTTGTTATTGTTGTTATTGTTGTTGATGTCATTGTTGTTGTCGTTGTTGTTGTTATTGTTGATGTTGTTATTGTTATTGTTGTTGTTATTGTCGTTGTTGTTGTTGTCGTTGTTACTGTTGTTGTTATTGTCGTTGTCGTTGTTGTTATTGTCGTAGTTGTTGTTGTTGTTGTTGTTGTTATTGTCGTTGTTGTTATTGTCATTGTTGTTATTGTCATTGTTGTCGAGTTGTTATTGTCGTTGTTGTTGTTATTGTCGTTGTTGTTGTTGTTATTGTCGTTGTCGTTGTCGTTATTGCCGTTGTTGTCATTGATTCATCCTGGAGCTGAGTGACCTTTGACCCTGAACCTGCACCATGAGGCTCAGGTTTGATGCTCCTCTGGCTGACTGACCCTTACTGTGTGCAGCAGGTTACTGAGCGTGCTCAGTGTGTCCCCCCCAGCCTTTAGGGCTAACAGTGGCTCATCCGAGGAATTCTGGGTAAATTTATGCGCCGTCTCTCTGCTAATTGAATTAGACGTATCTTGTCGACAGTGTGGTCATTGTGGACGCCGCACAATGTTGGGCTTCATCGTCTGCAGCACACAGAGGAATTCTGGGACATTTAGACCCCACCCCCCAGATCCCAACCCAACAACGGAGACCCGACCAAGTGGGTCTTTATTCTGCAGCAGCAGCAACTGACTGACCGCCTCAGGCTGGGGGGGGTCAGCAACAGGACAGGGGGGTTAGGGTCATGAGTTACTCCACATGTACTGTGTGTGTGTGTGTGTGTGTGTGTGTGTGTGTAAATATATATATGTGTGTGTGTGTGTGTGTGTGTGTGTGTGTGTGTGTATAAATATATATATGTGTGTGTGTAAATATATATATGTGTGTGTGTGTGTGTGTGTGTGTGTACTAATATATATATGTGTGTGTGTGTGTGTGTGTGTAAATATATATATGTGTGTGTGTGTGTGTGTAAATATATATATATGTGTGTGTGTGTGTGTGTGTGTGTGTGTATAAATATATATATGTGTGTGTGTGTGTGTGTGTAAATATATATATATGTGTGTGTGTGTGTATAAATATATATATGTGTGTTCATGATAAATGATAAAGACTGAAACAAATGTCCAACAACAACAAAAGTATTTTATTTATTTATTTATATTTATATTCAGATTCATTCATTCATGTTTTTATTCAGTTTTTTTTCTCTATTTTAATTCATATTTATTGATTTATTAATCTAACGGGCCGAGCATCAAGTCTCGAGCATCGATGGGAGCTCGAGACTTACCCCGTCTTTGACGCGCGCTGCGCCCCGTCTTTGACGCGCGCTGCGCCGCTCTTCCTCTAACCGGTCAGAACCAGAACAGTAAAACAAGAACTGACGTCTGTTTTCTGCGGTGAACAAACTTGACTGTGCACGACGGGTCAACCTAAATAACCGACCAACGTTAGCTCAGACCCGACAACAACGATATTTTTATATTTGTAAAAAAAATAACCCTGTGAGAAATTTATGGTGAAGTTTATTTAAGGTTTAAATCATTTTAAAAGTTAAAAAATCAGAATAATTCGAACTGAAATGATTTCCAACCCTGTTTATCAATATTTACATTTATTCACATGAACGTCTATGAACACATGAATCAGAGTGTAAACCTGCAGATCTCACAGAGCTGTCACTGACACAGCACCACACAACAACAACAAACAACAACAACAACAACAAACAACAACAACAACAATAAACAAACAACAACAACAATAAACATCAACAACAACAACAATAACAACAACAATAAACAACAACAACAACAACAAACAACAACAAACAAACAACAACAATAAACAACAACAAACAACAACAACAAACAACAACAACAAACAAACAGCAATGTTAACAACGCAACTGAAACAATACGAGCAAACTACACACACACATTCACACACACACACACACACACAAACACACACACACACACAGTCTGACTGAGTTCCTGTGATGGTGACAGCAGGTATTAGAGGAACAACAAAAACAATCATCATCAGTTCTTTGTCCCCGCCCCCTCGCCCTTTAATGAGCGTGACGGTGGCGGTTGCAGCAGATCTCACAGCGGCGGTCACAAGACGGCTCATATGACAGAGGGTTTATGGGAGAATAAGACATTTGGACATTAGAGAGACGGACAGTTTGATCGGGGGGGGGGGTTCCATGTCTCTGTGTTCGTGTGTCTGACAACTTCCTGTCTGAGTCACAAGTTCGCACTGAGCACGCTCACAGCACACTCTGTCCTAACACGCATTCATCCTTTTATTTTTCTATCACCAGAGAGGAAACGACCAATCAGAGCAGACGAGGAGACGACCGCTACGACTACTACAACAATAAACAACAACAACCATAAACAACAACAATAAACAATAAACAACAAACAACAACAACAAAACAACACTAATAAACAACAACAGTAATAAACGACAGCAGGGATTTTTTCTTATTACAATCATTTACGTTTGTTTGATACGGAGCGGCGGCGTCACAAAATATACGGGCGTCACACAGAGCCACACAGACACACAAACCCCTAATTTCCACCGCATCCAGAACAGCTACGAAAACGCCGTCTCCACAGATTGTAGCTGATCATAACGATTCAAGTTAAAGGGACATTCTGTCATAAAATTAATTTAGGGTCAAACCCACCGTAACACAGAGTTAGACCCCCCCTCCAGAGATGAATGTTGTCGACCGCTTGCTTCTCTAGTTATACCAACTTTAGTAACGACCGCAGGATAGAAATACAAAGAGCCACGCCCCCAACCAAAACGCCACTCTATAGCCACAAATAATGCTCAGAACAGCACCTAACTTCATCAACAGGACATACTCTGATTCTAGAAGTCTAGAAGTAGATTTCCTCCTCTGGAAGGACACAATCTACTGCTTATATGTCTATGTGTCTGTCTTTATAGAGACAACTCGTTAACGCGCGATTGGACGTGAATCCGCGGGTTCTTGTGAGTTCTCGCGGTTCCTGCTGTCTGTAATCCGCCGTAAATATTCGCCTCACAAACGGATCCGGTAGGAATTGGTGAAAATCGCTGCTGTTCTGGATGAAGTGGAAATTCAGGGTGAGAGAAACTTTATTTTGCCCTCTGAACCACAGACACGCACACACGCACGCACACACACACATTTCCCGCCCGTCAGCGTCGCTAATTTCCCGGTAAATTTCCCGGTAAACTTCGTCACTTCCTCCTCTGTTGTCGAGTCAAAGGCCCAATTCCAAACTCCACCCTAAGCCCTCAAGCCCTGCACCCTCATTAGCTTAGGTTAAGTCAGCTGGTAAGTGCTTGAGTGTGGGAGGGTTTAAGGGCTCCAAAAGGGTATAAAAGCAATGGAACAGCCCTTTGTGACGTGCCACGTTAACTTGACGATAGACGACAACGTTGACAACCAAAGACGCGACTGACACTTGCCTCTCTGGGCTCTTAATTCTGCATTTATTTCGCGGCCAGCGACGTTGCAGAAGAAAGGCCAACATTGTTCCGCTCCTTTTGCACACACTTGCTCTTGAACATAGACAACAGGTAATTGGTAAATAATGATTAGATTGATAAATTATAAAACCAGCATTAATGATAGGTTAAGTGATATTGAATGGTTAAAAGGTTGAAGCACTAGATTCTGAAAGTAATCACTGCTTTAGAGTGTTAGTTCAGGATAAAATGTATTGATTCAGATAAAAGTTTGAAGTAAAAATCAATTTTCTTTGTTATAAGAATAACGCATGCGTGTGTGTATGTGTGTGTGTGTATATATGTATGTATACACACACACACACACACACACACACATATATGTGTATATATATATATATATATATACAGTACAGGCCAAAAGTTTGGACACACCTCATTCAATGTCTTTTCTTTTTTTTTTTATATGACTATTTACATTGTAGATCATTACTGAAGGCATTAAAACTATGAATGAACACATGTAGAATTTTATACTTATAAAAAAAGTGTGAAATAACCGAAAACATGTTTTATATTCTAGTTTCTTTAAAATAGCCACCCTTTGCTCTTGATGACAGTAGTTCCTTGTCAGGGTTACTTCAGGCACTCCTGTGAAGTAAAAACCATTTCAGGTGACTACCTCATGAAGCTCATTGAGAGAACAGCTTAAGTTTGCAGCGCTATCAAAAAAGTAAAGGGTGGCTACTTTGAGAAATCAAAAATATAAAACATGTTTTCAGTTATTTCACACTTTTTTCTTAAGCACATGATTCCACATGTGTTCATTCATAGTTTTGAGAATCTACAATTTAAATAGTAATGAAAACAAAGAAAATGCATTGAATGAAAAGGTGTGTCCAAACTTTTGGCCTGTACTATATATATATATATATATATATATATATATAATATTATATCCATGTTAATGTAGTGCATTCTTGTTCATCTTGGCATTCCGGCACCCACCATACACGATGCGGAACATCCATGTTAGAGTATTAAGGGTGCACCTAGATCCTAAATGAACTGCTTCTTCTTGAGCTTTTTCGCCATGATCTCCGTCATTTTTGGTGTCTGTCGCGGATGTTGAGACGCTTGTGGCCTCGTTCCTTTTTAAATCCTGGCCCCGGCTGCGTCGCTGTCCTCCAGTAACGCCCACAACGCAATGAATTGTGGGCAATTTCATAGCCAAAGTCCTCAACGGTACGGACTTACGGAAAGGGTGCAGAAAGGGGCGTTCCCGAGCCCTCGCTGACTTACCGATTTCATTTGGAACAACCCTCAAGCCCTTACAGAGCTCACATGAGCGCGCACCTAAGTCAATGAGTCAGTGAGGGGGTGGTTTGGAATTGGGCCAAACTCGGAGCTCCATCTTTAACTTATTCATTCATTCATCCCTTCATCTTTAACATCAACATTCATTCACTCATTCATGCTCCACTTACCTGCCGAAGGTGCGTCCTTTCACGTCCTCATCCCTCCAGAAGTTTGAGGAAACAGATCGCGTCATCGCCGCGGGGTTAAGTAGGAGGTACGGAGGCCCAAAGTGGTCACATGATGCAGGAAAAATTAACCCTTTGTTGTTTGTCGTTAATCCTCACAGTCCGTGTTTTTTTAATGAGAGAGAACTTCTGCTTAAAAAGGTCAAAATCAAAAAGTCTGAATGTTTCAAAGAGTGAAAAGGTTTAAATCAAAATAAAATCTCTAAAATGATGTCATTAATAACGCCCACTGGGGGGAGGAGCTAAGAGGGTTTCAAAGATGGCTGCCCGGGTCTCTCCTGAAGGAAACCGCTGACCTGACTTTCCGAATGCTGCTCCGACCTTCTGGTTCTGTTTCTGTTTCTGTTTGTTTGTTTTTTGATTGTTTTTTCTTTTTTGTTTGGTTTTATTTTTGAGTTTTTGTCTCTTTTTTTGTTTGTTTGTTTGTTTGGGTTTTTGCAGAACTCTTGCCTTGTTGGATTTTTGTTTTGTTTGTTTTTTGTTGTTTTTTTGTGTTTTCGCCGTCAGCCACGTTCGTGAACCGATGATCTAAAATATAAAAGTTTTCTCTCAGACCATGAAGTGGGCGGAGGAGAAACAGGAGGGCGTGGCTTACATGGCGTCGCACCAAGTTCCTCTAATTGGTCTGGATGTTGTGACCCAAACTTCAGAACCAGAACCAGAAGAACTTGATGTCCAGGTGAGTGTCTGAGAGGATGTTTCTACGAAGGGTTCGTTTTCACGGCTGTAATATTTAAAAACATCGTCACCTTTTGTGCTGATTTAAAAAAACACTCCACAGCAGCATGAATTCATGTGTTCATAACCTGATTTCAGTATCATCACCTGAATTGTCTTCAAGTACCAAAAAGTACGAGTGTTCATTATCCTGTAAAATTCTCTTTGTCTGTGAATTATTGATATTTATTTACTCATTCATTCATCTGTGTTACAGGTTCAACCATTCATAGATATTCATTCATTCATTCATTCATAGAAACAGAGTTCCTGTTCAAAATGTTGGTTTGACTTTAATCAGTGAGAAAAATTATTTCAACTTTGAGTAAAAATCATTTAAAAAAGAGTCTCTTAAAAAAGGACTGAAACAGACGCTGAGGAGAGTCTCAGACGTTAATCAAGTACTTTTATAAGTACTTTTATGAAGTACCATTATAAATACTTAAATAAATATTTTTTTATAAATTTTAAATATTTTTTATGATTTTAAAAAGTACTTTTAAAAATGTATACTTTGATTAAGTACTTTTATGAAGTACTTTTTATGTTTTATAAAGTACTTTTAAAAAATACTTTTTTATATTTTTATGAAGTTCTTTTATAAATACTTAAATAGTTATTTTTTATAAATTATAAATACTTTTTTATTCTTTTATAAAGTATCTTTTTATATTTCTATAAAGTACTTTATCAAGTACTTTTTTAAATACTTGTTTTAAACTTTTATAAAGAGTACTTTTATAACGTACTTGTATAAGGCTAAAAGTTTCACAGTCGACTCCATGTTTGATGTCAAACTCTGAACTGAGAGACGAGTCGACGAATTTTGTGTATGTAGTATTTTGGAAGTACTCCATGCAGTTTTTCCTAAAAGGACTCAGACTCTGTACTTTAAAGGGGCGATGGCGTCCATAATGTTGATGTTTTTGGATCTGACCCGCTGACCGCGGCGTCATCATGTCTGCTTCAGTTTCATCACGACTCGGAAACCTTTGCTGATGCTAACAGCTGATGCTAACAGCTAGGCCTGTCGCGATAATCAATAAATCGCCTTATCGCTCGATAAATAAAAACGAGGTCGATAACTTTGCCACCCTCGATAATTGATGTGCGTTTGTTTTCCTCCTCTCTCGCTACCAAACACGCTGGATGAGAGAAGAGGTCTCACTCTGCGTATTTTTCTCGGCACCTGGGGGCGTTGGCTCTATAGCGGAATGAACGGAGTTGGTGAACCCTCCTGTCAGTCATTCAGTGTCTTTGTCACGGGGGGGCTGGCGCGCACAGGCACACAGACACAGACTTTTGGATACAGTGCTGCAAGTGAGCGTCGTGAGTGAAAAGCAAGCAAACAGAATGAACACGACAGCTTTGGTGTCTAAACCGAACTCAACAGCCCAAGTGTGGGAATATTTCGGCTTTAAACCAGTTTTGTTTTCGACAACCACAAAACTCCACGTGTGTTTGTGCGCGTGCGTACGTGTGTGTCTGTGTGTTGGAGGAGCACAGCAGGCTGATGAGAGCTGTCAGAGCGGACTGAAGCTGCTCCTATATGTTTAGCGTTTAACTGACTGAGTTTTGCAACTCTGTTCGTCATTTTCATCTCGTCCCATCAACGTAAACGCACTTTCGTCTCGTCACATTTTAGTCATCTCCGACTTATGTTTAGCTCGTCAACGTTACGTCTTCGTCGTGGAAGAAAAGGGAAATATTTTAGTCAACGAAAAAAACAACCAGTGTTGTTCTCGTGTGGAAATTAAAGTTTATCACTTTTGACATGGTGTACTCGCATTATTATGCCATATAATATCATTATCTATAATTTAAAAAACGGTGTCAATAATATCGTTTATCGGCGATAATTTGTAGCACAATTATCGTCCAGCAAAATTTGTTATCGTGACAGGCCTACTAACAGCTGATGCTAACAGCTACTGCTAACAGCTACTGCTAACAGCTAATGCTAACAGCTACTGCTAACAGCCAATGCCAACAGCTAATGCTAACAAACACTCTAAAGAGACTCTGAAGTGACTTCCTGTCTGAGTGCGAACCCGGAGTCAGAGAGTTCAGGCTGATGTCGGAACGGCGTCCTCTGTGCTCAGAGGGTCATGTGACTGAAGGATCGTGGTTATAAATCAAAGAGCTCAGCGTGAAGCTGGCGTGTCGTCCTCTCAGGTGGTCACATGACCCTGTCATCCCGTCAAACGCAGTGATATAAATATGTCCCCTAAAGAGAGGACCATTGTGGTCCAGACTCGTCATAAATTCCTCCGTGCGGCGCCGCATCGGTCCGTGTTCGTGGTCACACAGAAGTTCCTTTCTTTTCCTCGCTCGCCATCCTGCTCGCCGTCCCGCTCGCCGTCCCTCAGAAACTTTGTTTACAGATTCACAAAATCCCCCAAAGACGAGCAGAAGAGGACTACAGCTGGACCCCCAGGCCTCTCTGATCCACAACAGACCGGTCTTTATGTGGACCAGGACCAGGACCGGCCTCAGGGACCAACCCCCCCAAACAAAGGCCACAGATCATCGAGGACCGCCGCAGGACAGACAGCATGGACGAGACACAGAGACGGAGAGGACATGAATGAGACAGAGAGGACAGAGGACATGAGGACATAACAGAAGACAGGACAAAGGACATAAATGAGGACATGAGGACAGAGGACATGACAGAGGAGACAACAGAGGATATGAGGACATGACTGGGATACAGAGACAGAGAGGACAGAGAACACAACAGAGGACATAAGGACATGAATGAGGACACGACAGAGGACATGAGGACAGGACAGAGGACATGACAGAGGAGACAACAGAGGATATGAGGACATGACTGGGATACAGAGACAGAGAGGACAGAGAACACAACAGAGGACATAAGGACATGAATGAGGACACGACAGAGGACATGAGGACAGGACAGAGGACATAAGGACATGAATGAGGACACGACATGCATCCTAACTGACCGAGGACGTCAGAGGTACAGTTGGACCGTCATCTTCATCATTATTATTGACTTATGAGGACATGAGGACATTCTTGTCATCATCATCATCATCATCATCATCATCAGTACCAGTATTATCACACACACACACACATCAACGCTTGACAAACACATGAACACACATTAGGACACGTGTGAAGACACACACACACACACGAACACACATTAGGACACATATGAAGACACACACACACACAAACATACATTAGGACACATATGAGGACAGTCTGAGCTGTCTTCAGTCCGAGATTCCAGACTCACAGAGTCTCTGATGTTCCTGATGAATCTGATAAAGTCCAGGAGGAAAATCCCCGACTGAAGCCAGACCGGATTTAACAATAACAGGGCCATCAGAACCACATCAGAACCACATCAGAACCACATCAGAACCACAGGGTCTGAGTATTTCTCAGCAAACAGGAAACCTGAACCTGGATCATGAAGTTTCATCCTGGACCTGCAGGTTCATCCAGCTGAAGACAGACAGGCTGAGGGACTCTGAGAGACGATTTACAGAGAAACTGAGACTCTCAGATTGATGAGATTCCTCTGGGTTAGAACATGAAATCTTAAATATGATATAAATATAAATATAAATATTGACGGTTTTCTACAGATGGTCTGGAGGGTGAAGTTCTCTGTTGACCACAGTTAGTTCCTCTCTGGTTCCTGATGATGAGTTTATGTCTGAAGTGAGAAAAGATGAAAAAGTGAAACACGTGTTCACCATTATCACCGATAATTCAGCTCCGATCAGAGGAAAGGAGGCGGGTCGGTTCTTCATTCGGACTGATTCAGAAAATCAGGGTTTCCTGAGGTGAAGGTGAGCTCCTACAGGTGTGACCCTGACAGGAAGTAGTTTGACGGCGTCCTGCTGGTGGAAAACCCCGTCAGTGGGTCAGGAGGAGCGGGGACGCCAGCGTGCAGCAGCCGATCAGATCAATTGAATCAAGTCTGTTAGTTTTGATTAAATCATGAAGACAAACTGAGCTTCATTTTTCAGAAATAATCTGATTAAAGGAGAGGAAGGAGAAGAAGAAGAAGAAGAAGAAGAGTTGTTTACTCTGAAGACGAGAGAGAGAGAGAGAGAGAGAGAGAGAGAGAGAGAGAGAGAGAGAGGGAGGGAGGGGCAGAGACCACCCAGAGAGAAACTCTCACAGGACTGAGGCGGACCGGGATGACCGGTACTAACCTGGTCCATAAACTCTGAACGTCTCTTTGTGTCAAAGTTGATTTTTATTATTTTTATCAGGCAGAAACAAAATGAGTCCCGTCTGTTACACTCCCTTTAATTCATGTAAAGAACTTTTGATATAGATGTCTCATTTCCTCATTTTCCTCAGATCTACTAACATCAGTTTTAGGTTGTCCGAGTACTTTGATAGTACTTTAATATTCTGGTACTTCATGTATCAGAAGTATTTAGAGCAGTTCAGCTCTCCGTGTTCTTATTTAACGTCTCTAAAGCTCCTTTCACACCGAAAGCGACTGGAGTACGTAACACCGCGGTCCTGAAACACACGAAACTGACACTAAACTGTAGTAATTATAAATATTCCAGACGATCATGAAGTTTCAGATAATCCCAAAATAAATGATCGTGGTTTCCTGACTCCGACCCACACATCCTCCACCATGTTTCTTCAGAGCCGATGTTCGTAAAGTCGATTCTGTCGGAAATTTAAACGACGATTTTGTAGAAACGTTGTTCAGCAGACGTCCAACAGAGACAGACGGGGACAGGTCATGAACTCTGGACCCCCTCTGCAGACTGGACTTTGACTCGGGACCTCCAGGACCTTCAGGGACTCCAGGACCTTCAGGACCTCCAGGACCTTCAGGGACTCCAGGACCTTCAGGGACTCCAGGACCTTCAGGACCTCCAGGACCTTCATGGACTCCAGGACCTCCAGGACCTTCAGGACCTCCAGGACCTCCTCTCTATCAGCTGGAGGTTACTTCAGGTCATCAGGACTCGTGAGACGTCTGTCAGCGTCTTTGTGGTGACGATGAGGATGATGATGATGAAGAAGATGAAGCAGATTCATGATCCCCTTCATGAAGACGCCGCTGCCCTGATGCATGATGGGAGTGTCCCTGCGGCGTCTCACTGTCTGTCGCGGACCTCTGTGATTTCATTTCCTGCTCCCTTTGGTTCTTCTGGTTCCTCCGTCTTCATCTGTCTCCGTGCTGCAGGACACCTCCACCCATCTCTGTCCTCAGGAAGTCCTCCTCCACCTGCAGCCCGCCAAAATAAAACCCAGTTCTGTTCCTGTCCAACAGTAAAGGTCCAGTCGGTCCTGCTGGTCTAAGAGGTTCTGAGTTTGTGAGTTTGGTTCTGCTCCGGTTCTGGATCCTTTCGTTCCCGGTACCAGAACTCGGAGACGGACCCTCTCAGAGTCTCAGGAGGACACACACACACACACACACACACACACACACACACACACACACACACACACACACACACACACACAAAGCCACTTGTGGCTCTCTTAACGAGTGGAAACCTCGTTAAATCGACTTAATTACCACTTCGTCCAATAAAACACCTCCTCAGCAGGAAGCCCCCCCCCCCCCCCCAGCTTGACGTCTGAGAACAACGAGACAACATCTACAGCAACTCCGACACACACGGGCAACAGGTGTGTCTGTTAATCTGACCAATCAGAGAGCAGCTCCATCCAAGACAGGAGACAAGAGGAACATCAAAGAGTCTGATCCCTAATCTGAGATTAACAGGTGAGTTTAATCTCTAATCTGATATAAACAGGTGAATTTAATCTTAATCTGATGTAAACAGGTGAGTTTAATCTTAATCTGAGATAAACAGGTGAGTTTAATCTTAATCTGATGTAAACAGGTGAGTTTAATCTTAATCTGATGTAAACAGGTGAATTTAATCTTAATCTGATGTAAACAGGTGAATTTAATCTTAATCTGATGTAAACAGGTGAGTTTAATCTTAATCTGAGGTAAACAGGTGAGTTTAATCTTAATCTGATGTAAACAGGTGAGTTTAATCTCTAATCTGTTTGTTGTTGATGTCGTCCTCGTTTATAATCTCACAGCAGTTTTAATAAAATTATCTCGTCATCAATCTCCTCAGATTAAATTTTTTAGTTTTTACCTGTTTTTTAAATGAAGTCCTCTGGTTCTGGTTCTGGTTCTGGTGTTAGTCTTTAGGCCTTTATGAGGACGGACTCACTGAAGGGACACAGCCTCTAGTGGACTGTGGAGGACCTGCAGTTTTTGGGTCTTCAGGGTCAGCTCTCTCTGTCCTCATGGGGGGTTGTCTCAGGGTTGGAACCGGGTCCAGATGGTCTTGGCAGTGTCTGCTGGTTATTAATATTCCTGAAGGCCTGAGAAAACAAACTTCCTGTCGCAGCGGTTACCATGGTAACCGAGCGTTGACACAGCAGCCGTCGTTGTTTGTGATCACAGGGTTAGACAGGAAGTGTCCCACTGAGGGACACAACAACACGTCTGTCCACTGGAGGACTTTCTCACCAACACAAGAAACACCAGAAACAGAACCAGAACCCCTCCACCCTCCACCCTCCACCCAGTCATCCATCTATTCATGTGTTCATCTGAGGGACACAGAGCTGCAGAGTCCTCATCAGAGACTCAGGACGGATCAGAGCTGAGACTGTCTTCAGACACCTGTCCTCCTCCTCAGACACCTGTCCTCCTCAGATGATGGACACAGGACCGAGTGTAGATTCAAACAGGCGCTCCAGCTGTCCAGTGTTTTCTGCTGAGGTGTCCAGGAGAGGGACGGACCAATCAGAGTCACAGATTCAGACTCTGGTCACAGCTGCTGCTGAGTCATTATGAGACCAGGAGGCCGACAGGAGGAGGTGAAGGGGGTTCAGACCAGGCTGAGAGTAGGGCTGGACGATCTGTGAAAAAGTTTATCATGATCTATTATTTTCATATCAGCTGATATCGATCAATATCAGGATATAAAAAATGAAATGTAACAGAGTTTATTCAGGTGGTGAAAAAGATTTGAGGTATTCCCCGACTTTGTGAGAACATGTACTCGACATAATTTACAGTCCACATTACTCTGCTTCATGTCCGACCTCCAAACACCAAAATACCTCCACACCACCGACGTTTTCCTAACGCCAGTGTTGTGGTTGACATTGATGTGGTCATCTGTTGAGCCTTCATGGTCATTTCTGTCGGGGGTAGCACTCATTTTTTTTTGTTTCTCACCAACAGTGCTGTCGGCTTCACCTGTTAAAGTGCTATGGTTGGGTGGAGCTGCTGTCTGCTACGACGCAGCAGTTGGTTGATACTTGGTTCTAATTCAGAACATGATTGGTTCAGACCCGGAGAAACTCCCCTTTTCATTGGCTGTTCGTATAGTCGACCAAAACATGTCAGAATGACGACTATTGAAAAGCATATTGATCATGTTTATATTGATATATTAATTATTGATATATATGGTTGTTGTTTTATCGCCCAGCTCTACCTTTAAGTAATCAGCTCACCTAACTCTAACTCTGACATCATGACTTCACAGCCAGACAGTCAAGGGACAGGAAGTGACCCCTTGAAAGCGACGCCCCCAAATGTTGGGGGTTAGAATATCATTAAAGAGAAAAAAGGTCATGATAGTTTTCCCTGGTTTAGGTTATCGGAGTTGATTTTCTGTGTTCCTGTTCCCCTGAAGTCCTGACCCGGGTCCCTCATGTTCTCAGAGTTTCATTTCTTATATCAGTGTTTCCTGTTTTATTTTGAAGTAGCTTATTCCCTGTGTTTCCTGTTTTATTTTGAAGTAGCTTATTCCCTGTGTTTCCTGTTTTATTTTGAAGTAGTTTATTCCCTGTTTCCTGTTTATTATTGATACTTAATCCAGGATTGTTGGGACCACAGAGGAACTGTAAAAACATATTTCTTAGAAAAGACACTTAGAAAAAAAAATTTGTGCTAGACCAGGCGAGCTGCACTTATTTCCCAGCGTTCAAACACTGAGACAAGACAAGACTGTAGACCAGAACCTCACAGAACCTCACAGAACCTCACAGAACCCCACAGAACCATGTTGCAGAAAAACCACAGACTGTTCCTTTAAAAGTATCCATGAGCGAAACCTGCAGACTAATCTGTGCTTTTATTTTGGAGGGAAGATAAATCCTGCACTCGGACTGATCTGTGACATATCTGTGTGTGTGTGTGTGTGTGTGTGTGTGTGTGTGTGTGTGTGTGAGTGTGTGTGAGTGTGAGTGTGTGTGAGTGTGTATGTGTGTGTGTGTGAGTGTGTATGTGTGTGTGTGTGTGTGTGTGAGTGAGTGTGTGTGTGTGTGTGTGTGTGTGTGTGTGTGTGTGAGTGTGTGTGTGTGTAGATAAGCTGCAGCAGATGTGTTTGGATGTTGACATTGTTTCTCTCAGATCAAAATGTTTCACTCCTCTAATAGGCTTTTATTTTTGGACATTTGGATTTACGGCACCACTACACACACGTACACACACACACACACACGTACACACACACACACACACACTCTGGCCCCCTGCCTGTGTGTGTGTGTGTGTGTGTGTGTGTGTGTGTGTGTAAAGCCCTCTCCTCTGAGTGAGTTTATGAAAATAATCTGATGAGATTTTTAAATCATTGATCATAAAAACTGATTAATTAGTAATCAATATTCATCATTGATTAAATCAGTTTCCCAGGAAAGAGAGGGTAGAGAAATCAGAGGAGCGATGATCGAGGTCACGTGACGGCGGTCTCATATAGACACGCCCCCTGAAACAGATCCTGATCATAGACTGTATCGAGAACAGCGCCCTCTGGTGACGGGCTGCAGTATTTTTAAAAGTTATTAGGGGGTTCATGTTTTCTATGATTGACAGCTGATACAGCCAATGGGAGGACAGAGACTGAGTAGATCACCGAGCGTCATCACAGCGACTCTCCTGCTGAATGTGAACGATGTTGGTTTGAGGAAGTGGAGAAAAAAACGCAGAATTACTGAGAACTTTTCAGCTTCAGATCTGTAAACTGGAGGAACCGAGGAGTCCAGAGTAAATACAGACTGCGGTTCTGAAGAGAAGATCTGATGAGCTGGGACTGAAACGTGGATGTAGACCACCATCACTGATCAATCAGAGTCAACAGAAACAGCTGCTAACTGATCAGCTGATCAGCTGTCCTCTCGTCTCTGTAAACAGATGTTCTTCATGTAGATCTGGTGGAATGTCAGGATGTAGACCCGTTTTTATAGATGTCTCCTGTAGACTGTCCTCTGTCTGTGTGGACACAGAGCTGGTGTCCGTCTCCTCTCCTGTGGGTCACGGCCTCGTTTTTGTCGAATCTTCATCAGGAGAAAAACTAACGTGTTTTTTTTTTCCTCAGCAGTGAACAGACGGAGATTTGATCGTCCCCGCTGTCCCCCACTGTCCCCCACTGTGCCCCACTGTGCCTCTGGGAGAAGGTTTGGACTAAGAGGACGATTGGGGACAGTTGTGTGTGTGTGTGTGTTTATGAAGAACACTGGGCTTCTTGTTGGGCTCCAGATGTGCTGTCTTCAGACCCGTCCATCAATGAGACCCTGTTCGCCCTGCAGTCCCCTGACCGATTACTGAAGGACTAAAGTCCACCTCACCCTGACGACGGGGAGGGGGGGACAGGATGGTGGACAGCAGCTCACACACACACACACACACACACACACACACACACACACACACATATATATATATATAAAAATGTATGTGTTTGTGTGTATAAATATATATATATACACACACATATGTATTTATATACATATATGTGTATAAATACATATATGTATATGCATCCCTATATAATTTATACATGAGATATATAATGTAATATATATTTAATATGTATGTGTAATTTCCATAACTATAATAATGATTATTATAATGATGATCATTTCATTGATCATGATGATCAGAATATTTACAATCATCTTCAGTTTCTCACATTAACACTTTATTTGTTTCTCCTGCCGTCTGATGATGTCTTCATGAGTTTTCTTCTGTCAGTGTGTGTGTGTGTGTGTGTGTTCATGTTTGTGCGGTTGTGCGTTAGACTCCGCCCCCTCAGACCCTTATATAAAGGTTCATATTTGGTTGTTGTAGTTTTTTCTGTCGCTCCATCATCAGGAATCTCAGATTATCCCCACAGATGAAGATGAGTGCAGCAGCGTGTGTGAGCGGCTGTGTAATCTTGGTCCTGATGCACCTGTCACAGCAGCAGAGTGGATCTCATCATGAGTGTGTGTGTGTGTGTGTGTGTGTGTGTGTGTGTGTGTGTGTGTGTGTGTGTGTGTGTGTGTGTGTGTAAGCAGATTAGTTTCCTCTAATGCAGGTATTTTAGGAAGATTCAGGAGCTTATGTAACCTCTGCCTTTTTGTTTCTGCTCCTCCTCCTCCTCCACTGAGGAACCCCGAGGCCTCCTCACCCACCCACACACACACACACACACACACACACAGGTCTTTGTGCTCAGGGATTATCTGCTGCAGCTGCAGATCCATAAACACAATAAGTGATTCTGTTTAGATAAAACATGGACTCAGACATCAGGTTAGACGCACACACACACAGACACACTCACACACACACACAGACACACTCACACACACACACACTCACACACAGTGATCTGATGGAACCTGGACATGCTGGCGGTGTGTTTGAGGACACCACAGTGATGGAGGTCTGCAGTGGTGGACTCCTTCAGACCCGTTGAGACCCGTTAGGGACCGGTCCGATCTGTGTGACATCATGAAATCAGAGTTTCTACAAACCTACACAGGATGTTCTTCAGTGTGGGTCAGCTGACTGTAGAGCTGCGCTGTGATTGGAGGGGAAGGCTGTGTGGAAACTAATGTCAACTACTGTAACTGCTGTTAGTGCTGTTACTGTAAACTGGTGTCAAATACTGTGATGACTGTTTGTTGTTACACCTCAGGGTTGTCATGTTGTGCTGTTTTGTTGTGTTGTTGTAGTTGTGTGTCTTTGTGTATTTGATAAAGCCTCATTGTGTTCTTGTCTGACTTTGTGGACATCTGAGGTCTTCATGGTTCCTTACAGTAATTAGTCTCAGATATTCATGAACAACACACACACGCACACACACACACACACACACACACACACACACACACACACACACACACACACACACACACACACACACTCACTCACACACACTCTCTCTCTCACATGCCCTGCATACCGCTCTGAATTTATCAAGAACTATTTTTAATTTTTGACTCATACAATGCCCCCCCATCTAGTTTACTGTCTGCAGAGAGAGGATGAGAGCTCCACCTGCAGGACACATACAGACACACACAAACACACACACTGTTGCCTCAGACTGATAAAAGCTGATCGAAGAGTCAAACTGAAGGAAATGGAGCCGAGAGATTTTCACAATAAAGGTCTGAGCTTCATTTTAAACACTGACAGATTCACAGAGTCACAACAAAATCAGTGCAGTCACACTTCACACTCATGTTACAGCCTTGTTTAATGTCTGTTACATCTTTGTTACATGTCAGTTACATGTGCGTTACATGTCTGTTACATGTCTGTTACAAGTCTGTTACATCTGTGTTACATGTCTGTTACATGTGCGTTACATGTCTGTTACATGTCTGTTACATGTCTCTTACATCTCTGTTACATGTCTGTTACAAGTCTGTTACATCTGTGTTACATGTCTGTTACATGTGTGCTACATGTCTGTTACATGTCTGTTACATCTGTGTTACATGTCTGTTACATGTGTGCTACATGTCTGTTACATCTGTGTTACATGTCTGTTACATGTGTGTAACACGTGTGTTACATGTGTGTTACATGTCTGTTTCATCTGTGTTACATGTCTGTTACATCTGTGTTACATCTGTGTTACATATCTGTTACATGTGTGTAACACGTGTGTTACATGTGTGTTACATGTCTGTTGCATGTCTGTTACATCTGTGTTACATGTCTGTTACATCTGTGTTAAATGTGTGTTACATGTCTGTTACATGTCTGTTTCATGTCAGTTACTTGTCAGTTACACGTCTGTTACATGTCTGTTTCATGTCATTTACATGTCTGTTTCATGTGTATTTCACATGTATGACATGTCTGTTTCATGTCTGTTCTATGTGTGTTACATGACTGTTACATGTCTGTTACATCTGTGTTACATGTCTGTTACATGTCTGTTACATGTCTGTTTTATCTGTGTTACATGTCTGTTACATGTCTGTTACATCTGTGTTACATGTCTGTTACACGTGTGTAACACGTGTGTTACATGTGTGGTACATGTCTGTTACATCTGTGTTACATGTCTGTTACATGTCTGTTTTATCTGTGTTACATGTCTGTTACATATCTGTTGCATGTCTGTTACATCTGTGTTACATATCTGTTACATGTGTATAACAAGTGTTTAACATGTGTGTTACATGTGTGTTACATGTCTGTTACGTGTGTTACATGTCTGTTACATCTGTGTTAAATGTGTGTTACATGTCTGTTACATGTCTGTTTCATGTCAGTTACTTGTCAGTTACACGTCTGTTACATGTCTGTTTCATGTCACTTACATGTGTGTTTCATGTGTATTTCACATGTATGACATGTCTGTTTCATGTCTGTTTCATGTGTGTTACATGTCAGTTACATGTCTGTTACATGTCTGTTTCATGTCAGTTACATATCTGTAACATGTCTGTTTCATGTCTGTTATATGTCTGTTACATGTCTGTTTCATGTGTGTTATATGTCTGTTACATGTTTGTTTCATGTCTGTTTCATGTCAGTCACACATCTGTTACATGTCTGTGTCATGTCTCTTTCATGTCTGTTACATGTCTGTTTCATGTCTGTTATATGTCTGTTATATGTCTGTTTCATGTCTGTTTCATGTTCCTGTTTCACGTCTGTTTCATGTCTGTTTCATGTTGCTGTTATTTCTGCCTTCAGTCTGCTGCATGTTTCTGTTGTACCTGCAGATTATCACTCTCAGTCTTTGTGTGTGTGTGTGTGTTTGTGTGTGTGTGTCTGTGTGTGTGTGTGTGTGTGTGTGTGTGTGTGTGTGTGTGTGTGTGTGTGCGCGTTTGTGTGTCTGTGTGTGTGTTTTGGTGCTGTACCTGCGTGTTAGAGGGATTTCATGTAAATCTTCATAAATCCATAAAAACAGGCAGAAGATTGAGCCGTTTATTTTCCTATGATGCTGTTAACCTGGGGGGCGGGGTGTGTGTGTTTGTGTGTGTGTGTGTGTGTGTGTGTGTGTGTGTGTGTGTGTTAGGTGTGGAGGTTGTGGGGGTGGTGATGTTGAAGCAGGAGTGAGAGAGCAGAGGTAATCTGTGTTAATCTGATAAAAGGGTCAGATTACAGAATAAAAACATTCAGAGCTGGAGGGGGGGGGGGGGGGCGAGAGAGAGAGATAGAGAGACTTTAGGGGGGTTAGGTTGTCAGGGTGAAGGCCTCCTCAGACCCTCAGGTGAAGTTGTCAAGGTGAGAAAAAGAAGAAGATCTTTGTCTCTGTTTGTCGTGTAAAAACTCAGCTGAGAATTTATCGAGAAACATTTTAGGGATTCAGAGAGAGGAAGAGAAATACACAGATATAATAAAACACTGATATAATAATACACAGATATATAAATACACAGATAATCTACAGACATATATAAATACACAGATAATCTACAGACATATATAAATACACAGATATAATAAAACACAGATATAATAATACACAGAAATATAAATACACAGATATATAAATACACAGATAATCTACAGACATATAAATACACAGATATAATAAATACACAGATATAATAATACACAGATATAATAATATACAGATATATAAATACACAGATAATCTACAGACATATATAAATACACAGATAATCTACAGACATATATAAATACACAGATATAATAAAACACTGATATAATAATACACAGATATATAAATACACAGATAATCTACAGACAAATATAAATACACAGATATAATAATACACAGAAATATAAATACACAGATATATAAATACACAGATAATCTACAGACATATATAAATACACAGATATAATAATACACAGATATATAAATACACAGATATATAAATACACAGATATATAAATACACAGATAATCTACAGACATATATAAATACACAGATATATAAATACACAGATATAATAATACACAGATATATAAATACACAGATATATAAATACACAGATATAATAATACACAGATATATAAATACACAGATATAATAATACACAGATATATAAATACACAGATATAATAATACACAGATATATAAATACACAGATATAATAATACACAGATATATAAATACACAGATAATCTACAGACATATATAAATACACAGATATATAAATACACAGATATGTTTGTTTCTTCTTTACGCTCATTCTGACACTAAACCTCCATCAGAACCAGTCCAGACTTTCAGTCCAGTCCTCCAGAGTCCTGCTGAGGGGAACTTTCATACTAAACTCATCAGGCCTCCATAAATGCACACACACACACACACACACACACACACACACACACACACACTCTCTCCAGCTGTTTAATCTTTTCCTTCCTATTGTCCTCTCGCAGCAGCGCAGCCTCTGATTGGCTCAGAGCACAATGACCTCATAATGAGCGCGCTCAGACTGCGATCTCCATCAGAGCGAGTTAATGAAGAAGATGATGATGAAGGCTGATACACACTCAGGGGTCAAAGGTCATCGATAACATGATTGGAGCGTCTGCAGCTCATCATCGACTCCATTTTAAATGAGTCCTTCAAACCGCGACCCTTAAAGTTACGGCGCCGAGAAACTCCGACATCGAAATAACCGAACTTTATTAAACCTGAGGGCGGGAACCAACGAAACGGAGGTCGTCGAGGTTATTCATCTGTGTTTATATCACTGTTATTAACACTAATATTAAAGTTATTATCATTATAGTTATTGTTTATATTACTGTTATTAACATTAATATTAAAGTTATTATCATTATAGTTATTGTTTATATTACTGTTATTAAGATTAATATTATAGTTATTATCATTATAGTTATTGTTTATATTACTGTTATTAACATTAATATTAAAGTTATTATCATTATAGTTATTGTTTATATTACTGTTATTAAGATTAATATTATAGTTATTATCATTATAGTTATTGTAATTAAAGTTGTTGTTGTTGTAGTTTATTGTCATTATAGTTCATGTTATTGTCATCATTGTTATTATAGATATTATAGATATTATTGTTGTTGGTTCACTTTTCTGAAAGTACAAGAGATTAAATTGTGTGTTTTTGTTTATGTGTGTGTGTGTGTTTGTTTATGTGTGTGTCTGTTTGTGTGTGTGTGTGTGTGTGTGTTTGTTTATGTGTGTGTGTGTGTGTGTGTGTGTTTCGGTCGGCCTGGTTAGCGCTCTGACAGCTCTTTTGTGTTTCTGTTTCAGGCCTTAAACAAACTGAGCGACAGGAAGTGAAAGTGTCGGCGGGTCATGTGACTCAAAGAGTGGCGGGCCGGCCGTGGGTGAAGAGCCCGTTTGTGTGGTCTCAGCGTGGGCTCGGCCCTCTTCTTTGAGTGCAGCCTGAGAGTCGACGTGCGGGGATAAAAACCCCACATGGTGTCCGCAGGCTGCCAGCTCCGAGACGGGCCGCAGGTCCGACCTCTTCCTGCTGTCTTCACAACACAAAGAGGACGCCGAGAGACGCTCGGACCCTCTGAAAGCTGGTCCTGGGACCCCCGCCATCCTCACCCGGGACCAGGAAACACTCTCTGTCCACACCGCCGTCAGGGTGCGTTTGTTTTACTGCTGGCTGCAGAGCGGAGCCACCAGCGGGAAGGAGACGCTCACAGAGCTGCTTTACTGTCACCTAGCAACCACACCTCCAAGATGGAGGAGGATCCGGAAACTCCTGACAGCGCGCACACACACACACAGATACATACACACACACACACACACACACACACACACACACACACACATACACACACACACACACACACACACACACACACACACACACACACACACACTGTTAAAGTTCAGAGACTTCTCTCCGTCAGCGCAGTCACATGACTCTGTTCTTGGTTCTGATTCTTTTTATTTCACATTTTTTAAATTTATTTTTACTTTTTTAGTTTTAAAAACGATTTAAAATTAAACCAAAAAAATAAAAGTCATCGTTAACGCTCAGAGTCAAACCTGAAGACCACCGATCCGTGAGGGTCCGAGAGAACCCCAGAAAACTGTTGACAGTTTAACGTTATTTAATCTGGAGGTTCGTGAACTTCTGACGGCGTTTCCTTCAGGTCAACGATATTCGGGTCAGCTGTGGCGCCGTTGGTTGAGTGGGTGGTCTCATGAACAGAAGGTAGAGGGTTTGATCCCAGAGCCGTCAGATATGATCATTAAATCAAATATTGATGATTTTCAAAATAAAAGCCTACACATGATGTCAAAATATAAACCGGTTTATGTTTGTTTTCCCATAATGCACTGCTTTTAAACTGAGTCAACACACACACACACACACACAGCAGTAGCAGCTGTGGTGTCATGCTGCCCTCTGCTGGACAGATACAGAATATTTTCAAAATAAAAGACTCAAACAGTAAAGTGACGTCACATGTCAGCAGCAGAGAGGAGGATCAGGATCAGGGGGATTGACGGGTGATTGACAGCTGAGTGACGGGTGATTGACTGGTGACGAGTCCAGGATTTAGTCCACAGTGAGTCCGGTCTGAGGGAGGACCTGGATCAGCTGGAGGACTGGAGACTCTCAGGAGGTCAGGGGTCATGAAGGACTTTTACAAACCCTGATCCCAGTACAGTTGGGTCTTTGTGTAAAACCTGACAAAACCATAAGACCCTGATCCTCAGACCCTGATCCACCTGAGGACTCCGCAAACATCTTTACCCTTCAGACCGAAGAACCTCACTCTGGAACCCAAACCTCAGAATCTGGTTCAGGGTCCTGGTTCAGGGTCCTGGTCTCCTCTCCTTGAACAGTCAGTCACTGTTGTGGAGGTGGACTCGTTCACAGATCGGGGTCTCTGTTGGGGTATTCTGGACTTCCTAATACTCCACACATGTTCAAAGGGGGACCGGTCTAATACCTGGACTCTCTGACTCTGAAGCCCCCCTCATTTCTGTTTGAGTGCAGTTCAGAGTTTGACCACCAGGGGATGACAGAGCACACACACACACACACACAGACCAAGGTTTTATTTTGAAAAAGGGAAACTGTGGAAAAGAAGAATCTTTTATTCTCTTAAACGTGAAACAGGAAGTGGATCATAGATCTGTAGATGTATAGATTTGTCGATATTCTTCGATCTTTAAAGGGCTGTTCTGCTGTAAATTTGTTCTTCTAGTCTGTGTCCACCTCTGTCTGTCCTGAGATCCTGTCCTCCTCAGACCAGGTTCCTCTCACCCTCTGACCCCCGACCTCCACCTTCATCCTGATCTTCTCCTAAAAGGTCGTATCCTCCGATCGTAGCTGATCGTAACCATTCAAGTTAACGTGTGAATTTACACCGACTTCTTTCCGTTCCTCTGCGGATCGCCGGACTCCTCAGCTGATCACAAGAGTTCTGTTTTTTCTGGACGCCGGAGCATGGCGGATAAATTCAGCACAGATTAACCCGTGCTGGAAAGGAAGTCGGGCACAGACACAAAATAAAACATCCGGCTTCTTTTCAAAATAAAACACTCCGTGTTTCAGGAGGATCGTATTTCACACCATGCAAACGGGCGGAGACGAACAAGTGAAAGGTTTTTAGACGTCATTTCACCCCGATGACACCATGGATGAGGAGATGCTGATTCTAGAAGTCTAGAAGTAGATTTCCTCCCCTGGAAGGACACAATCTACTGCTTATATGTCTATGTGTCTGTCTTTAGAGAGACGACTCGTTATCGCGAGATTAAACGTGAATCTGCGGGTTCTTGCGAGTTATCGTAATCCGCCACGAAATTCGCCTCACTAACAGATCCAGTAGGAAGAGGCTGACAGCGAAAATCGCCGCCATTCTGGATGCGGAGAAAATTGAGGTTAGAGTAACAGCAGCCACACTGTGACCTTTGACCTCCGTTCACAGACCTGGGGTCAGTCAGACAGAAAAGTTTCCCATGATCCAGTCTGATCAGTCCTTTAACACTCATGACTCATCAGACTCCAAAGCTACAGACCTGCCCGGCTGTGTGTGTGTGTGTGTGTGTGTGTGTGTTTGTGTGTCTGTGTGTGTGTCTGTGTGTGTGTGTGTGTGTGTGTGTGTGTGTGTGTGTGTGTGTGTGTGTGTGTGTGTGTGTGTGTGTGTAGAGCAGCAGTAGAGTGGGTGTTGAACAATCAGACACGTTCCCACTGTGTCTGTCTGACAGCGGTCCCGGCTCTGTGTAACTGTTGTGTTCTCAGTTTGTCGTGATTCATGGCGAACTTCTCGTTTGTTCGTGAATCTTTAAGTTTGTTTGAATGTTTTCAGATCCATCAGTTTTAATCACAGACTGTTTATTTAATCTGGACTCCTCTGTTCCTCCTCCAGTTTACAGATTTAAAGCCGAAAAGTTCTCGGTAATTCTGCGTTTTTTTCTCCATTTCCTGAAACCTTCTCTCTTTCTCTCTCTCTCTCTCTTTCTTTCTCTCTCTCTCTCACAGATTAGGTCAGTCAGCCCAGTCAATGACTCTGCTGAGAACATGATGAGCAATCAACTAGGATCTCCACCTGGCAGAGGATACATCCCTTTGAACCTTAATCTGACATTTACAGTTAAATTTAATCTCTAATTCAAACAGATTACTGGTCCAGACAGTACTGGTTTTCTGCTATTAAATTTTAATCTGGGTGTCTATGAGGAAGGACTCACTGTGGGTCTCAGCCTCTAGTAGACACCGGAGGAATCTCAGTTTGGGGTATTTTCCTGTCTTTGTTTACTATAATCTGCCTTTTAACTGTCACCTGTAATCTGTTCATGGGCCCCTCAGGCTCCACCCACTTTTCAAATATGGTTTCTCCACCTCGAAGTTAGCACGTTAGCAGTGAGTGTTAATGATTATCGTTGGAAATAAAGTTCCAGATTATTTGGGTTGGTCTGTCTCAGTTCATTCCGTGACAGCAGGTAATCTCAGTAATCTGTAATAATCTGAATAATTAAGACTGAGAGACTGCATTAATTTTTAAAGTGACACAAACTCGTTTTATTTACATAATCAATTGTTTTATTTCTCTCATTATCTTCATTTAATCCTGTTTTAGTTTTCAGTTTCAAACTTCTCTATAACAGGCTATCATTCTGTCTGAAACCGAACCTCAGGATTCTCCTCCTCATTTTTACACTTTTGTCTGTAACAATATTTTTATTTAACATTTTAAAAACACATTTTCTTTCTATTTTAATGTCTTTATTTCTAGTTTTCTTCTTGTTTTGAGTTTTAATCCCTGACCAACACTCTCTCCAGCAGGGGGCGGGGTTTCGTTGACATTCCAGCGTCTAATTCAGAACGCGGAATGTGATTGGTGGAGGTATCCGGGAATGATCCCCCTCTAAGGCAGCCATTGGCCGCTGCTGCTGTCACTCAGCTCCAGTGACAGATGTCTATGGAAGAAGGTGGAAAACAGACTCGGAGTGAGGCCGCCATCTTGGCTCTATTGGAGCAGCTCGGACAGAGCGGGACAGCGGACGGAGAGAAGCCCGGCGGGGAGACACCAGACTCGGACACTTCTGTGTGAGCAGTCCGGGAGAGTTTACACGGCGGATCCACGTCCACAGCTGTGCGGGAATCTGTGCGGTTCTGTCTGCGGTTTGTGGTTTTCTCCCTCAGGAAACCCGCAGGACTGCTAAGCTAACGGCTAACGGCTAACCGGACCAGCCTGCGGTTCGGTACCCGAGCTGGAGTGGTCTGTGGCCGGTCCAAAGTCAGGGCCCGCTCGGTACTGTTCAGGCGGACTGTGGAGGACTCTGATCCGGACTCTGATCTGTCATGGTGGAACTTTTCGGGTCGGTGATCCGGATCTGCAGGTCTGGATCTGTGTAATCCCGCTCTCTGGTTCTTAATCCGGGTTCATGGATCAGGGGGGCCCTGTTCCTGCCTTAGAAACCCACAAGGTTCTTTGAAAGACCCGGTTCACCCACAGTCCGGACTGTCAGCTGGTCCTGTCACGGACTCCTGGAGCATTGGACCCGAACCCGACCCCTCAGACCCGGGAGGAACCCAGACCACCAGGGGCCCCTGTTAGACAGGCCGGGGTCTGGACCGGAACATGGTCCACGGAGCTCGGCTGGTTTAAAGGGACCAGAATCCGAACCGTCTGTGAGGGGGGACTAATCCTGAAACCAAAGACCCGAACCCGGACCTGGACCCGGACCCACCATGGGGTCAGCCCTCAAAGCGGTCTTCAGTCTGATCCTGATCTCCTGCTGCTCAGGTGGGTCCACCTGCAGAACCGGAACACACACACTGTACACAGACACACACACTGTACACACACTGTACACACACACACACACACAAACACACACACACACTGTACACAGAAAAACACACGCACACACACACACACACTGTACACACTCACACACACTGAGGACACACAGAGGCATGAGTACTACAGCAGTACTTCTGTAGTTCTCCTGTATTACTTCTGTAGTACTTCTGTAGTACTGTAGTATTAGTATGAGGCTGACATGACAGTGAAGTATGAAGTCTGTAAACACTGATGGAGTCAGAGAGGGTCCTCTGAGGACAGGTGGGGGAGAGAGGAGAGGAGGGAGGAGAGAGGAGAGGAGGGAGGAGGGAGGAGAGAGGAGAGGAGGGAGGAGAGAGGAGGGAGGACAGGTGGAGAGAGAGAGAGGAGAGCCTGAACTCAGGTTGGTCCTGTGTGTACAGTGTGTTTAGTTTGTGTAGATTTTGTAGTTTGTGTGGTTCGTGTAGTGTGTCTAGTGTGTGTTGTTCTCTGTAGTTTGTGTAGTGTGTGTAGTTAGTTAAGTGTGTGTTATGTGTAGTTTTGTGTTGTTTTCTGTGGTTTGTGTAGTTTGTGTCGTGTGTAGTTAGTGTATAGTGTGTTATGTGTTGTTTTGTGTAGTTTGTGTGTTTTGTGTAGTTTGTGTTGGTAGACTCTGAAGGTTCCTGGTCCTGTCTCTGGTTCCTCGTCTGTAACGAGGACGATCAGGAACTTTGATCAGTGTCTCTTTAATTAAAGGGGGGGGGTTACCATAGAAACAGTTCCTGTCTATGAACGCTGGAAAAGAAGGAAGTGATGTCATCATGATGGTCTTCTGGTCATGTGACCTGATGATGTTCTGATCAATAATAAGTGAGACGTCTTCATCTGCACATGCTCAGAGGAGAACCCTCTTTAAGTCTTTAGGACCTGCAGGTCCAGGTCTGACAGGGTCTCTGAGAACTTCAGGGGTTTCAGGAAGATTCTGGTTCTGGAACATCTGTGATCCACATTAGTGCCAGGAGAGGAGGTTTGTGTGTGTGTGTGTGTGTGTGTGTGTGTGTGTGTGTGTGTGTGTGTGTGTGTGTATGTGTGTGTGTGTGTGTGTGTGTGTGTGTGTGTGTGTGTGTGTGTGTATGTGTCCGTCCTCTCAGGTGTGTGTGTGTGTGTTGTTGTCCTCTCAGTTGTGTGTCTGTGTTGTTGTCCTCTCAGTTGTGTGTCTGTGTTGTTGTCCTCTCAGTTGTGTGTCTGTGTTGTTGTCCTCTCAGTTGTGTGTCTGTGTTGTTGTCCTCTCAGTTGTGTGTCTGTGTTGTTGTCCTCTCAGGTGTGTGTCTGTGTTGTTGTTGTCTTCTCAGTTGTGTGTCTGTGTTGTTGTCCTCTCAGTTGTGTGTCTGTGTTGTTGTCCTCTCAGGTGTGTTGTGTGTCTGTGTACTCGTTGACCTGTTGTCGTGTCTCTTCCTCAGGTGCGATCCTCGGCCGCTCAGACACTCAGAAGTGTGTCCACTTTAACTACAGTCCTTCACCCCCCCCCTCCTCATCAGGGTCAGCGGCGGACCCTCAGGGGAACCTGAGTAAGGTGGTCACCTGTCCAGGAGAGAAGGATAAGAGACTGCACTGCTTTGCCACCTGGAAGAACGTGTCAGGTGTGATTCAGGTGGTCAAACAGGGCTGCTGGCTGGACGATGTCAACTGTTACGACAGGTAAGAAGAGTTCAACTCCAGGAGGCTGTGAGGAGGACACACCTCACTGTTAGATTAGGTTAGAAGGTGTATTTAAGAGTGGAAACAGAAGGTACCTGACCGTCACACCTGTGGTTCACAGGGACGAGTGTGTGGAGAGGAAGGACGCTCCTGAGGTCTTCTTCTGCTGCTGTGAAGGAAGTTTGTGTAACACCAAGTTCTTCTACAGTCCTGAGAGCAACAAACCAATACCAAGTAAGAACACCTGGTCATGATGATGATGGTGATGGTGAAGATGATGAAGATGATAGTAGTAAACATGGAAATAATGGTGATGATGATGATGGTGGTGATGATGATAGTGATGATGATGATGATGATGATAGTGATGATGATGATGATGGTGATGGTGTTGATGAAGATGATGAAGATGATAGTAGTAAACATGAAAATAATGGTGATGATGATGATGGTGTTGATGATGATGATGATGATGATGATGATGATGATGATGACGATGGTGTTGATGATGATGATGATGATGATGATGGTGTTGATGATGATGATGATGGTGTTGATGATGATGATGATGATGATGGTGATGATGATGATGATGATGGTGTTGATGATGATGATGGTGTTGATGATGCTGATGATGGTGATGATGATGATGATGATGGTGTTGATGATGATGATGATGATGTTGTTGATGATGTTGTTGATGATGATGATGATGATGATGATGGTGTTGATGATGATGGTGATGATGATGATGATGATGATGATGGTGTTGATGATGATGATGATGATGATGGTGTTGATGATGGTGTTGATGATGATGGTGATGATGGTGATGATGATGATGATGATGATGGTGTTGATGATGATGATGATGATGATGATGGTGTTGATGATGATGATGATGATGATGATGATGATGGTGTTGATGATGATGATGATGATGGTGTTGATGATGATGGTGTTGATGATGATGATGATGATGGTGTTGATGATCATGATGATGATGGTGATGATGGTGTTGATGATGATGGTGTTGATGATGATGATGGTGTTGATGATGGTGTTGATGATGATGGTGATGATGGTGTTGATGATGATGATGGTGATGATGATGGTGTTGATGGTGTTGATGATGGTGTTGATGATAAACCCTGGCAAACAGCTGTAGAGACGGACTGGAGTTGGACTGGAATGAACTGATTGTGGATTCATGTTGAGCCTCTTTGAGGAAGTCACCGTCGTAAATCTCACACCAGGTGTGTTATTTAAAATGACATCAGCATTCAGGTTGTTGTTATGACTCTCTCCGTTTCCATAGCGACCAACAAACCGGTGACGTGGAAACCTCCGGTGCTGAGCACACTGATGTACTCCCTGCTCCCCATCACGGCCCTCACTGCCATTCTGCTCCTCTCTTTCTGGATGTACAGACACCACAAACTGGCCTACCCACCTGTGCTGGTGCCTACACAGGTAACACACTCATGCACACACACATGCACACACGCACACACACACACACACACACACACACACACACACACACACACACACAGTTGTAGGGCTAATACAGTGAGGACACGAGTGTTTAAACCTTTACTGTTGAGCAGAGTTCAAGAGTGTAACTAAAGGTATCAGTGCTGTGGTGAGTGGTCGACATGTTAGAGTATTAAACCTGGAGGTGACTGAATAAAGCCCACCATGACCCGTCAGGTCACTGTTATGAGGGGCTACAGAAGTCCAGGCTGTAAACTCAGACTAGTTAGACCAGAACAGGCGGCTGGATCATCTCTACTGTTCACCATTATAGTCCTGCAGGAGCAGAGAGTCACTGAATGACAGAAACAGCTGAGAGGGTCAGTCCAGATCTTTTCATCAGGAACACGTTCAGAACCAACAGAACCAACAGACACCTACTGAGAACAGGAGAAGGATCATCTCTGTGATACCAGCTGAGACTCACCAACAGAGTCCAGGATTAACCCACAGACACCAGTGTGTGTGAGTGTGTGTGTGTGAGTGTGTGCACTGACAAACAGGAGTGTGTGTGTGTGTGTGTGCACTGACAAACAGGAGTGTGTGTGTGTTCTCTGACTCTCAGCTGTCTCTCCCTCAGCATGCCTTTCACATCATGATCGAGGTAAGCTCCGCTCTCTGTGATCTCTGTCATGTTTCTGTCACAGGTTTGAGTTCTCGTCCTCCTGCAGCCTGACCCCTCTCCCCCTCTCCCTCCCTCCCTCTCTTTCCCTCTCTCTCTCTCTCTCTCCCTCTCTCTCTCTCTCTCTCTCTCTCTCCCTCCCTCTCTCTCTCCCTCTCTCTCTCTCTCTCCCTCTCCCCTCCCTCTCTCTCCCTCTCTCTCCCTCCCTCTGTCTCTCTCTCTCTCTCTCTCTCTCTCCCTCCCTCTGTCTCTCTCTCTCTCTCTCCCTCTCTCTCTTTCTCTGTCTCTCTCCCTCTCTCTCTCTCTCCCTCTCTCCCTCCCTCTCTCTCCCTCCCTCTCACCCCCCTCTTTAGTTCATCCATGTTTTCCTCGTTCGTTTTGTTGTTGTGTCTCCTCTCACCCGTGTGTCTCTCTGCTGTTGTTAGTCTGCGCTGATCCTCAGGTGTGTGATCAGTGAGTGCATGTTTGTGTTCAGCCGTCAGTCTGATGGATTTATTTTGAAAGTCTGCCTCATTAGACAAACAGGAAGTGTGTCATCAGCTGTGTTCACACCTGTCAGGTGTGTGTATCAGTGAAGTCCCAGGCTGAGACTGAACGTTGAAACACCTGTTATAAATCACAGTTATCTCACCTGAGCCCCCCCCCCTCCTGCAGGACCCTGGGCCCCTCCCCCCCTCCCCCCTCCTGGGACAGAAGCCGCTGCAGTTACTGGAGGTTAAAGCTAGAGGGCGCTTCGGCTGTGTGTGGAAGGCTCAGCTGCTGGACCAGTATGTAGCTGTGAAAATCTTTCCTATCCAGGTGAGTCTGAGCCGCCCTGAACGCACCTTCACAGGTCAGCGGTCACATGACCCTGAATTAACCCTTTCACTGGAGGACGTGTGAACTCTTGTAGTTATTTAACCAGAGCTCTGTCCTCTGTCCTGAATAACAGTTCTGTACTCACTGCCTCCCTCTGCTGGTAGAATCATGTTTTACACTTGTCCAGGTACACTGAGCAACAGAGTCCCAACACAGAGCGTTCATGAACGTAGTCCTCACACTGTACTGAATACCTGTGTGTGTGTGTCTGTGTGTGTGTGTGTGTGTGTGTGTGTGTGTTCAGGATAAGCAGTCGTGGCAAAATGAGTACGAGATGTTTAACATGGTCGGGATGAAACACGAGAACCTGCTGCACTTCATCGGAGCAGAGAGGAGAGGAAGTCACCTGGACATGGAGCTGTGGCTCATCACTACCTACCATGAGAAGGTGCTGCCCCCCACAGGACACGCTGGGAACTGACACATCAACATTCACCACCTGCATAAATAATAATCAGCTGTGTGTTAATGACTGAACAGAGAGGGCTGTTAGAGAACCACACAGACACGACACTGACATGATACAGACACTGACATGATACAGACACTGACATGATACAGACAGAACATGATATTGACAGAACATGATACTGACAGACAGAACATGATCCAGACAGAACACGATATTGACAGAACATGATACAGACACCATTTCTTAAAGGTGTTGTAGTTCAGGATCTGAGTTAGTTCCAGTTTTTAGGAGAAATCTTGAATGTAAACTCTACCCCTCCAAACAGTTCTCCTCTCAGCTCCTCCCCTCCCTCTCTTAAGCCCCGCCCACAAACAGACGCTCCTGCTCGCTCGTATCGTTCCAGTTAAATTCAGATATAATGCAGATAAATCCTTCAGATCATTACAAATGGGGCCCAGTCAAGGTGAAAGTCAAAAGCATTGGTGCTACTGTAGATGCCAACAGACTACCAGCAAACACAATGTTTGCAGGACTTCTACAACTAGGATAAAGTGACATAGTCCAGGACCCGAGGGAGGACAGTTTAGCGATGGCGCTACAACACGCTACAGCAGGTCCGTTTGACAAGAAACACTTCCGTTACAGACACTTGTCTTACTTTGTTAAAGCGGTTTACCTGTCCAGCAGAAAGGTTACAGGGTCACCAAGATCCCCAAGCGTCCCCCATCGTTTATGTTGACCCGGCTTTTTAGCTCTTGTCCGCTCTACCTCCGTTTTAAGCGCCCGTTATTCCTCCAGAGTCTCCGGTATTTACTTTGTTTTCTTGCTTGTGTCGGCAGTCGTGGCCAAAGGAGGATTCAGACAATTTTCCGAACTTTCTGGTTGGTTTCTACTGTCCGATATTGTAGCACGCTAACTTTGTTTGGGCTCCTGAACGACACGGGGGAGCAGCGTCTGCCTCACAACCAATCAGGTTAGAGGAGGTGGAGAACGGCTTTGTTTACAGTCAGAAAGAGCGGACCGCTCAAAAATGTTCAAATGTTGACGACACAGACATAAGAGAACACAGAGATATCGATATATTACCAAATGTCATCAATAACTAATAACTATTGACTGATATTAGAAGAGTTTTTGTAAATACACAAAATAAAAAGATGCTTCTTTAACAGCTTCCTGACTACAACACCTTTAATTTAGTACAGACATATTTATGGATAATTCTGATTCATCACCTGTACTTACAGCGAAGGATTGTGGGTAATTAGCACATACTAATTCTGATTGTCAGGTGTGGAGCTGTGATCTAACTGATATCCATGTTATATGACGTGTGTGTGTGTGTGTGTGTGTGTGTGTGTGTGTGTGTGTGTGTGTGTTCAGGGCTCTCTCACAGACTACCTGAAGGCCAACGTGGTCTCTTGGTCTGAACTTTGTCTCATCGCTCAGTCCATGTCTCGCGGTCTGGCCTATTTGCATGAGGACATACCTGGACACAAGGACGGACACAAACCTGCTATTGCTCACAGGTAAACACAGGTGCAGAGAGGGGCGGGGGGGTGGAGATCCCAGGTGTGTGACAGGTGTTACTGTGTGTGTGTGTGTGTGTGTGTGTGTGTGTGTGTGTGTGTGTGTGTGTGTGTGTCTTCCAGGGACGTTAAGAGTAAGAACGTCCTGCTGAAGTCCAACCTGACCGCCTGTATCGCTGACTTTGGACTGGCTCTCAGGTTTGAGGCGGGAAAATCTCCAGGAGACACACATGGACAGGTGAGTGACTTAGTCGGTGTAAATCGACACGTTAACTTGAATGTTTACGATCAGCTACGATCGGAGGATACGACCTTTTAGGAGACGATCAGGATGAAGGTGGAGGTTGGGGGTGAAGCTGTTTCCTGTTATTTCAGAATTCCCACTCCGAGGGTCCCACTGTAACAACAGGCCTGTGTGTGTGTGTGTGTGTGTGTGTCAGGTGGGGACCAGGAGGTACATGGCCCCTGAGGTCCTGGAGGGGGCGATAAACTTCCAGAGAGACGCCTTCCTGAGGATCGACGTGTACGCTCTGGGTCTGGTTCTGTGGGAGCTCGCCTCTCGCTGTAAAGCTGCTGACGGTAAGAGAGTCATGAGGGGACGCAGGTGCTGTGGTCCGTCTGTTACCTTGTGTTTTAAAGTGTGTGGGCTCAAGGACTCAACATGAAACCTGCCCCCCCCCCCCCCAGGTCCGGTTGATGAGTACATGCTGCCGTTTGAGGAGGAGGTGGGTCAGCACCCGTCTCTGGAGGACATGCAGGAAGTGGTCGTCCACAAGAAGCTGAGACCGCTGCTCAGAGAGTGCTGGCAGAAACACACTGTGAGTCACACTACATTACCCACAATACACTGCTCACAGCTATAGATGTAATACTGTACGACTAAACTGAGCGGTGTTGATTTCACAGATCAATATTCCATCAACACTTTTCATAGACTGAACAAATGAATATTTACATACTTCTCCACCGTGGAGCAGAGACAGAGTTCGACATCAACTCTGATTTAAAGTTTCAGTAGAATAACCGTGAAGTAAAATCAAACACGTTTCACTCATGTCCTTTTTTCACTCCTCTTCACTCCTCCTCTTTCATTGACTCTTTTCTCCGGTTGGAGGGTAAATATAATAAATATAATAAACAGAATAAACGTTTGAACCAAAGGGATCAATAATCTATAATCCACAACGTCTTTACTGCACAGAGTCTGAGACACCAAATCAACCCGGTTTTTCCAGGAGTTTTTAAAAGTCCAGATGAGAAAGTCAGCTCCTCCTGATTCTATATTTATCGATCATTACCTCGAACCATCTGTTCATCTGTTTTTAGACACTTTCTACTGATGGTCTTTTTAGTCCCACCAACATGATTGTTAATCTGTGTTTTTCTCCTGATTCTCTTTTCACAAATATAAAACTTCAAATCTACGTGGAAGTTTTCAAATGTTTTCCATCCTCTTTTTTAATCTCCTGACAATAAGGTATAAAACCAGAACATCCTCACAAATAAAGTATCTGACAATATTCCTCCAACCAGATTCTCTCCATCAGAGGGAGCATGTTGTTTTTTTGTTGATGTTTCCCTCACAGACTCTCTTTCACATTTTTCTTTCATAGATCTTTTCTTTGTTGCCCTTTAATTTTCACAGTGTTGATTCTGAAGTTAATCAAGTTTTTTGTAGAACAGAAACTGACCTGTAACAGGACCTCTTGACTGTGACCCTCAGAGACTGTTCCACGCCTGTTAACACGTCTACATACATGATCATAATAACATATTTAACATATATATATATATATATATATCTGCTCTGTTAAAATGACCCCACAGCGCCCCCTACAGAAGGTCTCACTTCAGTGGGGAGGTGTCTTCTCATTTATGTCCCTCCTGATGTTCCTAAAGAAGCTGAGGGAGGGGGCTGCAGTCATAGCGCCCCCTGCTGTAAGGCCGCAGTGTTGATCTGTCATCAGTACAGCAAAAACAGAGGTCCCTGTGGTCATGAGAAAAAAAGGTTCCCACATGGTGGCACAGTTCAGCGTCAGAGTTCTCCTTGGAGGCTGTTGGAGTAACTGTGGTGTGTTTGGCGCCCCCTGCAGGGCTTGTCTTTGCTATGTGAGACCATCGAGGAGTGCTGGGACCACGAGGCAGAGGCAAGGCTGTCGGCCGGCTGTGTGGAAGAGCGCATCGTCCAGATGCAACGCCAGACAACCGTCACTGCACCCGAGGAGATTGTCACTGTTGTTACCATGGTAACCAATGTGGACTACCCACCAAAAGAGTCTAGCCTATGATTAGGCAAGGGGCCAATCAGGACAGTGCATGGACTCCCACAGTGAGCTCTTCGTCACTGAAGAAACACTCAGGTCAGGTGACCTGGCAGGTGATCAGGTGACCTGCTAAAGGTCAGGTGAGCTGGGGACAGCATGGTGCAAACTCTCTGTCTCCCCCTCTGGGGGCGAGTTACACTGAAATCAGTTCCTTTTGTATTAAAAAGCCTTTGTGTTAGACCTTTTGTAAAACTGAACTGTGAGATAAACAGAGTCTGTAAACAGAGTTTATGTGACAGAGAGTAAAGAGAGTACAGGGGTGAGTGTGAACAGAGTGAGTGTGACACAGTGTGACAGTGCGTTTATACAAATACTGGGAACAGAGGGAGTTTAAACAGTGAGTGTAAACAGAGTGAGTGTAAACAGAGTGAGTGTGACACAGTGTGACAGTGCGTTTATACAAATACTGGGAACAGAGGGAGTTTAAACAGTGAGTGTAAACGAGAGAGTGTAAACAGTGAGAGTGTAAACAGAGTGTAAACGGAGTGAGTGTGAACTTAGTACATAAAAGTATATAGTGTTGTCAACGTTGAATGGAAAAAGTGAGTCTGAAAGGAGTGAGTGTAAACACTGAATATAAGTAAAGCCAGTGAGTGTACAAAAAGTGTTGTTAGGGTGAATGTTAACAGAGTGTGTGTTTGCAGTGTTAGAATAAGTGTAAACAGAGCGGATGTAAACAGATGTGTATTTACAGAGTGTAATCAGGGTGAGTCTGAACAGTGAGTGTAAACAGTGTAGAGGGAGAGGAAACAGTGAAAACAGTGTGTGGTCTTTGTGAGTTTGAATTGAGTGAATGTAAACAGAGTGGTCAGGATGAGTGTGTGTAAACTGAGTGTTGTTAGGGCGAGTGTGTGTAAACTGAGTGTTGTCAGGATGAGTGTGTGTAAACAGAGTGTTGTTAGGGCGAGTGTGTGTAAACTGAGTGTTGTCAGGATGAGTGTGTGTAAACAGAGTGTTGTTAGGGCGAGTGTGCGTAAACAGAGTGTTGTCAGGATGAGTGTGTGTAAACAGTGTTGTCAGGATGAGTGTGTGTAAACAGTGTTGTCAGGATGAGTGTGTGTAAACAGAGTGAAGTTGTGAGTGCAGTTTTTAAGGTTGTGTAACAGCTCCTGAATGTGTGACTCAGCGCTGTTTGTAAATAGAGATTATTTATAAACATTTATTCCTAATCCCAGCCACACAGTCTGATCCTTCGATATTTGACTTTGATGATTATCACTTTTATTGTCTGCTTTGTTTCACACCTGAACTGTCAACATTAAAACACTTTGATCACTTTTCTATGAAGGACAGTCAGAACAGCTGATTTAAGCCACAAACTGAAAGATCAGAAACCACTAAATTCAAAACAAACCGTTCAATTTACAATCTGTTTTCCTATAGAAGAGTTTATTAAACAGTATTTATAATAATTACAGTTTCTAACAATAATGAAAATCACTCTGGGTAAAAACAGATGATTGTTAATGTCTTCATTTATCTGAAATATGATGATCAAAACAAACTGGTACTAATAACACAGATCAGCTGATCAACTTTACTGATCAGCTGATCTGTGTTATGGACCAGCCGAACAATAACATTGATTAGCTGATTGAGTGTTACGCTGTGAAAAAGACTCATCAGTTTGATTTCAGTGTTAGCTGTTAAAAAGCTGAACATGATCCAGAGAATGACTAGACAGACTTTTATTTTGAAGTACTTCCTGTATGTGTGTCTGATTCTGCAGAGCCTCCAACCCGAAATAATTTAAAGGAATTGGACGATAATAATAAATACGTTTATATTTATGTGATTTGAAAAGATGTATTTTATTATTATTATTATTATTATATAGAAACAGCAAAATGAAATGAAGAAATATAGAATTAAAGTGAAAATGAATATTTAAAAGAAAACAATCTTTTATCTTTTCTAGATGAAATATAAGTGAATGCTGCTGTAGAAAAACTAAAGTCAGAACTCTGGAAAAGTCGATTCGATGAGGCTCTGACGTTTTGCACCTTCAGATTTTTGGAAAACATTTTTATTTTTAGTTTCCAGGAAAGAATAAAAACAGGACCTTGTTAGTACCCAGCATGCACTTCTCTGGTTTTAAACCCCTCTGAGGATCTCACCCTCTGGAGTGTTACAGGATTCAGTTGATTTCATGTTTTCTTTCAAAATAAAATAACCCAGAATCAGGTCAGTCAGACTTTAACGCTCCGGTGAGGGTTCTGGGTTGATTGTGGCGCCGCTCTGTTGGACACACAGTACCTCTTCACCCGGTTTCATCCGTCTGTGTCGATTATTACGAGTTACAAACTCGTCAGCAGAACATGAAACCCTCACCTTTACCTGACGGAGTCGACAGGAACAGAGAGCAACAGGGAGGCGTTCAGGGACCTCCAGGAAATCACAACACTGACAGATTCTCACAGCTCTGAACTCTGACTGTACTGACTCACTCCTTCACAACCTCCACACTGGATTTATTATAGAGTGTGTGTGCACGTGCGTGTGTGTCTGTGTGAAACAGAAGCAGTTTGTTTAATGGGTGTGTGTTGTGTTCAGGTGCAGTTTGTAAATATGAGCGTCGTTCAGCATGAGTTTGTTTTTGTAAAGTCGATATTAAAAAATGTTTTTATATGAAGAAGAAAAACAATCTGAGCTCAACTTTTATTTTGAAAATCTCAGTGTCCCTGCTGGTGCTCTCCTTATCATCATGACCTCATCAATTATGAAAACAGGAAGTGTGACAGTGAGTTTGTTTTATTTTGAAAAACAGCTCTGTGTGTGTGTGTGTGTGTTTGTTTTGGTTCTCTGCGGGAGTTTAAAATCAGACATTAGAGAGTCATTTAAATGAACAGACATGAATGTCACACACACACACACACACAGCAGACTGTTCAGTGAAGCAGTCCATCCTTTTGTTCTGTCAGTACCAGCGTGTCATTAATGTGAGGTGATCATGTGATCATGAGGTGGTCATGTGACTTCAGACGGATCAGACGACAGCGATGAATCGGTGTTTGACAGGAAGATGAACTCGTAAATTAAAAAAGGAAAATAATAAATAAAGGGAGAAAAAAAACCATGTCTCATGTTTTGGGTGTTTGATTTTGGATGTTTTTGTTTGTTTCTGGATTTTTTTGTTTCTAGATGTTTTTGTTTGTTTCTGGATTTTTTTGTTTTGACTTTTTTTTATCTTTTGTGTTTTCATTCTTTTGATTGTAATCTGTGAATATTTCCACCAACAGGGCAGATATCAGAGACGAGACCCTCAGACCGTTTTAATGCTTTAATTTTTCTGTGAACCTGAAACCAGAATCCCTCAGGGCATCGTCTTTGGGCCTTTTTTTTCTTTTTAGGGTTTGTCAGACTCGTGCACCGGTCCTGCTGGGCTTGATGCCTCTTTGTCTCTGACAGGAAGAAAACTGAGTCAGTCTGCTTCCACTGAACGGTAGATAACCTGCAGCAGAAGGGCTGAAGGTCAGAGGTGAACTCACTGATCAGGTAACCGATGAGCGTGTTAGAGTGAGGAGAGAGATAGTGCTCAGAGCCTTCAGACCAGACATCAGAGTCAGCCAAGAACTAAAGGGGGGGGGGGGGGTGCAGCACCCCCTGCATCTCCATCGGTGACCACACCCATGAGTTGGTGGAGGCAGACACCACTGTTGCCTTCACCTTCCAGGCTTTCTCTATCTCTTCGTTCAGCCCTCGGTACTTCTCTAGTTTCTGGTGTTCCTTTTTTCTGATGTTGGTATCGCTCAGGATGGCGACATCTACCACAACAGCTTTACTCTGCTGTTTGTCTATGATTACAATGTCTAGTTTGTTGGCCATTACCAATTTGTCGGTCTGTATCTGGAAGTCCCACAGGATCTTGGCTCGGTCATTCTCCATCACCTTGGGAGGTTCTTCCCATTTTGACCTCGGGGTTCCAGTCTAGATTCTGCACAGATGTTCTTGTACACTTTACCGCCTACTTGGTTATGGCGTTCCATGTTTGCTTTTCCTGCCAGAATTTTACATCCTGCTGTTACTGTTCCAGGGCCCTCTTTGCTCAGCCCTGGGATCTTGCCTGGTATGGTAGATCTGGACCTCTATTGCTCTGGTGCTCAAGGCCTGTTCTTGTGCCGCCATGATGAGTGCCTCTCTGTTGTCCTTCAGTCCAGCCCTCTCCAGCCATTGGTGGGATCTGCTCATATCAGCCACTTCAGCTATCTGTTGGTGGTACATCCCATGATGGTTCCTCCGGTTCTGTACTGTCTGAGACACTCACTAAGCGCTCCATCCTCCTGACATAGTCATGGAGCTTGGATGTTTCATCTTGGATAGTTGCTCTGATGCTCACTAATCCTCTGCCTCCTTCTTTGCGCTAAGTGTACAGCCTCTGGATACTGGACTTAGGGTGGAACCCCCCGTGCATGATGAGCAACATCCGAGTTTTAACATCTGTGGCCTGAATTTCCTCCTTTGGCCAGTTTATTATTCCATCTGTGTATCTGATCACTGGCTGGGCATAGCTGCCATTGAGCTGACTCTGTAGGACCTGCTTACTCGCTTCAGGTACTTGGCCGTTGCTGCATTCCTTGTGGCCTCCTCATGGTTGCCATTTGCCTGTGGTATGCCAAGGTCTTTGTAGCGCTCCTCCACATCCACTACTCTGCCCTCTGGGAGTGTAGCGCCCTCTGTAAGGATTACCTTTCCTCTTTTCGTCACCATTTGGCCACACTTCTCCAGTCTGAACGACACTCCGATGTTACTGCTGTAGATCCTGGTGGTGCGGATCAGTGAGTCGATGTCTCGCTCCCTCTTAGCGTACAGCTTGATGTCGTCCATGTAGAGGAGGTGGCTGATGGTGACCCCATTTTGGAGTCGGTATCCGTAGACAGTCTTGTTGATTATTTGGCTGAGGGGATTCAAGCCTATGCAGAACAGCAGCAGGGACAGAGCATCTCCTTGAAGTTGGCCTCAAGGCTGGTGTACCATTGCCTCATTGAGTTTGTAATGAAGGCCCTTAGAGTCTTGTTGACCTTGTACAGCTTTAGGCATTCCAGGATCCAGGTGTGTGGCATTGAGTCATAAGCTTTCTTGTAATCAATCCAGGCAGATTGGTCTGTCTGGTTCTACAGTCTTGAGCAACTGTCCTGCCTACCAGTAGCTGGTGTTTTGTTCCTCTGGTGTTCTTACCTCTGTCATGTATTGATCCATGTGCCCACTTATCTTTGCCGTAATGATGCCTGACAGGAGTTTCCATGTTGTGGAGAGGCAGGTTATCGGCCGATAGTTGGATGGGGCTGTTCCCTTCTGTGGATCTTTCTGGATCAGGACTGTCCTGCTTTGGGTCAGCCATTCTGGGTGGGTCCCATCTCTCAGCAGTTGGTTCATTTGTGCTGCCAGGCGGTCGTGAAGCAAGGTCAGCCTCTTTAGCCAGTAGGAGTGAATCATATCCAGGCCTGGTGCTGTCCACTTCTTCATACCTGAGACTTTTTCTTGGATGTCTGCTACTGTGATGGTCATTGCATGTTGTTCAGGGAGATTGATGTGGTCTCCAGCCTTGGTGGGTTTGCTCATGTGTTATTACCCTGTCACTGAGAGTACACTTTGGCTGGTTCAGTGGAGAACAGCCGGTTTATTCGCTTGGCCTCTGTCTCTCATGTGTCTGTCTTCATTCGGGCGGCCAAGGCTCTGAGTCTTTGTTTAGCAGTTTCCAAGGCCTCAGGTATGGGCATCTGTCCGTACCTCTTGGGTACCTCTTTTCTGGATGCACCTATCTGGAGTTCTGACAATTGGCTGACTTCTCTCTGTGTAACCTTGACCTTAGCCTCTGACCTTCTCCTCCATGGTGAGCACTGCTCTTTGTTCTTCTTGGTATTCACTTTATGTCCAAGCATCTCGAGGATCACTGCTGCTGTACTGTATATCAGCTCATTGATCTCAGTAATATTCGTAGTGGGAATCGTATCGTGAGTGTATCACTGCATTCACATTGGCTAGGATCTCTAGAGGGACTTCACTAATCTTGATTAGTCGGTGTCAGGGTTCACAGGAGCACATCTTAGCCATGATCTTATCTCTCAGGTCAGTTAGCTCTTTGTTCAATTCTGGGGTTTTGTGACCTGTCTCTGGGGGGGAGTCAATGTTAGCTTCCCCTTGCCATAGCATTTGTGTGTTGTATCTCCTCAATCTCCAGTAGTGATAGCAGCTGCCGTTTGGGGATGTTGGAACACTGAGCTACTGTGTGTGTGTGTGTATAAATACACATAAATATATACATATATATATATATATATATATATATATATATATGTGTGTGTGTGTAAAGAGAGAGAGAAGCATATACTGTACTTGGTAGAGGTATTGTTACACAAAAGAAAAAGTTGCAGCACAAGTACTCACCCCCAGTCTATCTTCCTCCATGGTTCACTGAAAGCTAAAGATTTAAAGTTTAGTTTTTTTGTATCAAATATTAAGAATATGTTTTTAAGGTTCAGTCAGATCGTTGAGAATAAATCAGAAACTTTTAGAAACTTGGTACGTACTGGGAGAAGGATCAGCCGTCAGCTCTGTGAAGAAAAAAAACATGATAATTTCTTTATGTTAGATTTAGGTGTACTGGTTTACAGATATACAGGTGTACAGGATTACAGGTATACAGGAGTACAGCTATACTAGAGTACAGGTATATAGGCAGTGGTGTACAGGTACACGGGAGTACAGGTGTACAGGCACAGGTGGAGGTTTTGAACTGTTCCTCAGGTCAGACCTAAGCATATTTATTCTGTTTAAGATGAGATACTCCTTTATTAGTCCTCCAAGGGGAAATTCCATTTTACAGTTCATCCTTTCCGAGAAACATACAGTAGACAGATACATACAGGGTGACAGGAACAGGAGAACTGTAGGATTGCCAGCCTGACTGGCGCTCCTTTCTTAGATGAGGAAAAAGGAGAACAGGAGGGAAGAAGAGAGGAAAAAAAACTCCAAACTCTGCTCCCATAAAGGGGGCAAAGGTTACCAACACCCACGGATTACTCTGATAAGACACCAGTTTGACCTGTGTGATGTCTGTCTCTCACCTGGATCAGGAGGTGAACGTGAAAACCACCACCTGCCTGCAGATCAAAAGAAAAGAAAGGGGGGGGAGCATTGTTAGTGGAGGTTTTGAACTGTTCCCTAAACCAAAAGTTAAAGTCAGACCTGAGCAGGTTGATTCTGTTTACATGTTTATCATCAGGATACAAACTCACATGGATTACACTGAGAAGACACCAGTTTGACCTGTGTGATGAGATGTGTGTCTGTTTCTCACCTAGATCTGCATATGCATGTCCTAACGACCTCCTGTCTGCAGATTGGAAAAAGAGAAAAAAAGGGGGGGGGGGGGGCATCAGCTCATATATAATGATTAATCTAACTCTGTACAAATACATGTACTCTGTAGTTTTACTGAGTTAATTTATACTGAACTAAAGATTTACTGTACAGACAAACATTTATCTGTGATGATCATTTATTTTGATTTTTATATAATAATAATTATCATGTAAAGTAACTTTTCTCCTCAATGATAGAATTTTTCTTTTAAATCAACAGAAAACGAAACTCATTAAAATCACAAAGTAACATTTTAATTTCTCTGATATCTACAAAGTAGAACCATCAATCAACCTAATCGATAACCAAAACAAACACCAACCCTGAATATTCCTCCAGAGATTAACCCAAACAAAACCCAAACAACCCCCCCCCCAAAAAAAACAAACATAATCCAAACAAAACTCAAACAAAACAAAAACAAAACCCCAAAAAACGACCCCCCCCCCAAAAAAAAAAAAACATAATCCAAACAAAACTCAAAAAAAACCACAAAAAAACCTGCAAAAAACGACCCCCCCCAAAAGAAAAAACACAAACAAAACAAAAACAAAACCCGAACAAAACTAAAAAAAAACCTCTTATGACTTTCTGATTCAATCCTTTCAGAGAGATTTTAATTTTCCGGAACGTTTCTGAGAGAAAATCTTTAAAAACAAGAAAAAATCTCACCAAACCATGAGTTTTTCTGTCGCTTACTCATCCTGCGAATGATGAGGATCTGACACAAACACACCCCACACCCTCTTTATATCGTAGACACACACACACACACACACACATTCCTACCAGGGGTCACATGACTTCTCAGAAACAGACCAGTTTACTTTACGTGTGTGTGTGTGTGTCTACGATATAAAGAGGGTGTGGGGTGTGTTTGTATCAGTCTACCAGCTGTGTGTTTATCGGGAGGATGGAGGAGCAGCAGGATCGTTCAGGTGAGTCAAATCATTCAGTTTACATGTGGAGGTGTGTTAGCATGTTAGCATCATGCTAACAGTATCTCAGGGACCTCACCTGTCTCACCTGTCTCACCCGTCTCACCCGTCTCATTGTGCTGTTAGTGTCCAAACTTGAACAGGAGCTCTGGGCCTCAGTTCATGGACTTCTACCTGCAGGGGCGTGTCCAGAGGACAGCCAGGGTGAAAGTGCTAACTCTAAATCTGATTGGCCAGCTGGTTGGCTGTTTGCCTTGTTAGAGGCGGGGCATGGGGGGCGTCAGTGAGGTTGTTTCTCTGTGTCTGCCCTGGTACCAGGATCTGAGACCTGGTCCATGTTCTGTGTTCTGGGTCCTGAAGATCTGTTCTATAACGTCACTCATGTTTCTCATTGTCCAGTTTTGACCCTTTGAGTCACACCTGTCTCCACAGGTGAGGGCAGCTCTGTTGATGACCCCGTCAGAGTTAACCTGAAGAGGTCAGGATCACAGGTGAGCTCACAGGCTTCAACCAGGTAACAGAGACTTTCTCAGCCAATCAAATCACAGCTGATCCACTCAGTCAGGTAGGAGGGTTCAGGTGTGTGAGTTTACCTGTTAACCTCAGCTGTTCTCATGATCAAAGTCCGCCTCCAAAGATAAATGTGACGAGTCTTTATGAAGCATTTATAAAATCAGATGGATATAATATCATCGCCTACATCCATCTGTCAGAATATATATATAATATATATATATACAATATATATAATCAGACTGATGATAAAGGAGCCAAACCACTGATACTAATGATGGTTCTGATAATGAGAATAACTCAGAATAATGAGAATAACTCAGAATGATGAGAATAACTCAGAATAATGAGAATAACTCAGAATGATGAGATTAACTCACCTGTCCTCTCTTTAGATGGACGTGTCAGATGGACGTCTTCAGAGCCCTAAATGTGGGACCAGCCTGCCTGTGGAGGCTGGAGAGGAAGTTGACCCTGAGAACCCAGGTCAAGACCTGGACCAGCAGCAGGACAAAGTAAGTGTGTGTGTGTGTGTGTGTGTGTGTGTGTGTGTGTGTGTGTGTTGCTGAAACACCACATCATACAGTGAGTCAAATAGGATTGAACATGTCACCATTTTTCTCAGTGGACATATTTCTAAAAGTGCTGCTGACATGAGATTTTCACCAAATGTGGGAAAGGCCCCCTAAACCCACAGGTGCATGTATATTTATATATATATGTATATATATATATATATATATATATATATATAAATATACATGCACCTGTGTGTTTGATAAGGTTAGGTTTGGTTGTCCTCCTCTGACCTTCAGGTCTTTCCAGAGACATTTATTGGATTCATGTTGGGTGGTTGGTTGGAGCAGCTTTATCTAAATGGTCCGGTTTGTACCTGAGTTAGAGCAGACACTCTTTGTACTGCTGATGAGAGAGAAGATAAGATATAGCTTTATTATAATATATACTATTATTATAACATAGATACAGATACAAAAGAGAAATGACAGGATAAAGAAACATACATGTGTACAGCATAAAGGTATAAATATGGATAAATACAAAGTAAAGGGTTAACATGCTAATGTAGATGTTCTTCATGTTTACAGCTGTTACAGAAGCTGGAGGATGTCCTGAGAGAACTTCAAGAACTGCTGCCACCAGAGAAATACAAAAGTAAGTTTTTGGATCTGACACAACAAGATCAATATTACTCACTGTAGTCAAAAGGACTTTTTATCAGGATGTAATGATGTCTAAACCGTGTTGGTGCAGATGCTGAGTGTTTGGTAAACTGGGAGAACCTGCGTATGAATCCAGCTGAGACACGATCACTGTTGGAACTGCTGCGGTACCTCAAAGACCTGCACCAGAAGGCCAGGAAAACTGATGACGTGAAAGCTGATAACAAGAAAGCTGATGACAGAAGAGGTGATAACGGCTCTGTCTTTAACTCCTGACTACCTGACTCTGCTCCATGACTCACCTGACACTCTGGGCTGGTCCATGAAGGAGATCTGAGACTCTTTTCAGGAGGACAAATAAAACTTGAATTTTAAATAGTAAATTTATAAGTTTTTTTTCAACATTTTGAAAGTTTAAAAATGTTTTTATTGTGTAAATAGTTTAAAAAGTTTAATAGTAAAGTATTTATGTTTTTCTCCATCAGAGAAGAAGACTCCTCCCTCTTCATCTTACCGCTCTCTGCGCCCGTATGAAGTCAAGGTGTTTTCCAAAGCAGCCGGGCGCACCTGTGGGGCTGATGGTGTCATACTGGAACAGGTGAATGGATGGGCTCAGTTCTTTAAGGTCGAGATCGTCGCAGACTTCCATGACTGTGACATCATCATCCTATTCTGTCCAATCGTATCTCGTGTCGGGACTGATGTGGATGCCGCCATGAGAACAATCCCAGGTAACTGTTACCCAACCCCTACATCAGGGGGCGGGGCTTAACCAGCGTTTGTCCTGTGTAGAAGAACCCACTGATCCGTCCTGTGTCTCATGTCTCTGTCCTCAGGGGACAAACCTGTCATCTTAGTCCTGATGCATCACACCAGAGACGCCGACTACTCTGTGGACAAATATAAAAACTGGAGCAAAGAAAAGAAGAGCGTAGTTCTGGCTGTTCATGTCCTCCACCATGAGACGAAGGGTTTACTGAAGTGTGCGAGGAACGATGACGCTGTCAAGCAAATACGGAAAGAGTTAAAGAATAAAAGTCATTATAGATTATTTTAAAGAGGACTGAAAAGAGGAGGAGTCAGACTGACGGTGAAAACAGGGCTGGATGAGTGAAAAAAGACCAGTTAACTATTAAAACCAGTATTTGTTTAACACATAATGCAACAGTTTAATGAAGGATGAGTTTGTTTGTGAAACTGTAAAAAAATAACATCACCATCACTGAACAGA